CACTCATGGTTCGTGGCAGGAGTGGTATAAATCATCGAAGTAATAACATAAACATTTTTGCCGGCAGGCATGCGCGTAATCATCACCACATCACACAAACCATTCACAAGAAAGCCACGACAGCAGCAAAAATGGCAGCCACTGAGCCAGCAGCAGGCATGGTCATGGCAGAGCCAGCGCTGACGGCAGCGGAAGAGGATGCCGAGCTGGAGGAGGTAGTGGTGTTGGTATCATAGCCTACAACACCGGTGGTATTGACACCAGACACGTAGGTAGTGCCGTTGCGGCTGTAGGGAATGTTCACATCCAGGCCGTACGAAGCATCGTACGGGAAGGGAGCAGTGTAGTTGTAGGTTGGGTTCTGGCCCTTGTAGGCGTCAATGACGGACTGCAAGATACCGTTACCGGCAGAGCAAGTGTCGTTGGTGGTAGGGATGGGCCAGTTAGCACGGTACTTGGAGTAGCCCCACTGCTCCAAGGGACCGGGCAGAGACTGGTTGATGTAGAGGTGGGTAGGGTCCACGTCCCAGTTCGTGTAGCCGACCTTGTCAGCAACGAAGCTGAAAATGTTGGCACCGCAGTCCCAGCGACCCAGGGAAGGAAGGCCCCAGTTCGCCTCGACGGTGGCCAGGGTAGAGTAGTGAGTGTAGACGGTCTCATCCTTGGTCCCGATGAGGTGCTCAGGGACAGCACCACCGAGCAGAATGCTGAAGACGCGGTTGCGGTCGTTGTAGATCTCCGATTCAGGGACACCGTAGGTCTCGGTCTCATCGAAGGTCAACAGCAGCAGAGTGTTATCCCAGAAGTAGGTGTTGTTCATGAGAGGCTCAACAAAGCTGCGCAGCCACTTGGATCCGTAGGTGATGTTGGTATCGTGAGCGTCGTTGGTCATGTCTGACTACGTTAGTAGGTTCGATATATTGAGGCATGGGAAGGCGTACTAGGAGTGATAAAGGCCCACTGAGGGAGCACTTTGTTCTTCATATCCTCCTCAAAGCTAGTAAAGTTCTTGATGAGGCGCAAAGCGGTGTCATTGCTGGAGATCTTGTCAAACATGACCAATGGGTCGTGCTTGCGCATGTAGTCATTTGCGCCAGTTTTCTGGTTAGAGTAATTGTACCCTTGGAAACCGGGGTAGGGTAGGTGCTCCTGGTAGTGTGCCCAGGAGATACCCTTGGGGTTGAGAAGGTCCGCCAGGGTCGAGACATTGGAAGGAATGTCATGGAAGTTGTCTGCAGGGGAGAATTAGCATGGGGTCGGCTGCCAGGATGCATTAGCCTTACCATTGTCCATTCCATAGTTGTCACCGCTGACAGAAGCGCAGTAGTTGGGCTGCGAGGTGTGGCCAACGCCATAGTAGTTGACTAGAGTGATACCCTTGCTAGCCAGCCACTGCTGGTTGGTGTCATTGGCAGCATTGACATAATCCTATCATTAACGTTGAGTATCGCGACCAATCCTTGGAGGACACACGGAATACTTACGACATTCTCCAGCCAGATCTGATAGAAACGATCGAAAGACTTGCCCGTGACATTCGAGGTCCAGGTTTGGGGCACCGTGGTCGCCTGAGCCCTCTGGATAGCGGCGAGCGGAGGCTCCGAGGTGGTGATGGTGGCACCGGCGGCCAGCCCGGCCAGAGTGAGAAGCGCAGTCACAGAAGCCATTGAAAGAGGTGCTCAGCAGCAGTGAGAAGAAGGTGCCTGGATATTCAAGCAAGTTGCAGGGCATGCCGTCCTTTTATCCTGGAGTGTCTCGTGCCTACTGGGAGGCATATCGGCCGATGCGACCGTGGAAGCATACTACTACCAGGGACGGACTAGTACTGTACATGAACCCCGCGGACCAGTCAGAAATGGGGTTGACTTCACGTTCCTGCCGGCAGGAGGAGCGAGTGACAATCCTTGGATAACCAAGCGGGTGCATGATCCATTGATCCACTCCGGTTGGGTCTACTGGTGGAGTCTCTCTGCACCACCTTTCGGGGCTTCAATTTCGGGGCTTCAAGCATCACCCCTTCTTCCCTACCCAATCACAATGGCTGTCCCCTGGGCGTGCCTGTTTGACGTCGAATGACTTGCGCAGTTATACAGTCCATTCAACCCAGAATGAGACAGCCTTGTGGGATTCACCTTCTACCAAGCTTGCTAAGCTTCGCGGACCGGTGGATGTGGCCCGGCTTATCCCACGTGCCCGCCACTCTCATCTGGCGGAGATAAAACGCGCAAAGACGGAAGGCTGATACCCTCAATCAGCCCGGTCGCATTCCGGCGGACTCCGGGGATGTTGTTAGTCAATGAGAGTAGTATCGAGGGACTCGATCCTTCCGTCTGTTGCCTTAAACCAAGTGGTTAACAGATATGCACATGTGACTGGTTTCTGCACTAACATCTCGGCATCTACTGCATTTCCCGATAAGGTAGCATAGACTGCTTCGAATACCCTCGGAAACTGGATCTACATGGACATCCTACAAACGTCTGCGCACAGCGGAGACTTTAACCAGCTTCAGCTTGAATACACTTGATCAAGCCTTTGTCTTCGGGCATTGGAAAGAATTGAGTCCGACCCAGGCCCACTATGTTGACAATATCACCGGGCTTAAGCGGAACCCGAGCAAGAACGGCTAGGGCAGTTTAGCACTAGCATATCGCAGATCGAACTCAAGGCATGCTGTCGCGTGCGCACTCCCTATTGGGGATTGCTCCTCGTGCCATCTGTTCGCATGACAAATGGGTATGGAAACAAAGACATCTCTCCAAGCGGGTTCTCAGGAAGCTCAGCTGTTGTGCTTCAAAGAAGACCTACACTGCATAGGCAACCCTTCATTCCGGTCCCCAAATTGGTCGTCTTATCGCAGTTGCCAATCTCTTATCACCATTCTTAACAATATCTATGCCCAGACCATAGCGTTCTTGGCCTCGTTGTTCCTGTTGATTGTGCCTGCCACCCCCACTTGAGGCTATCTATGCCTGAGGCACCAAAAACGATAGCAATCTGCACGAGATATCCCCAAAGCCTGTTCACATCCTTTTCGACTCACGTCAAAAAATACGGCTTTATATATAAGCAAACTCAGTGCTTATACTACAGTCTTATACTTTTAGTATAAAATTACTAGCAAACGCTCCTTTTACAATCCCCCAACCCCTTCAACAAGCCGTGTATATATCCTCGGCACAACATCACAGAATCAACCCCGCCCTGCGAAACATCGCAAAACTCTCCAACCAGCCCTCTACCGGATCCTTATCCCCCTCAAAGCCAGTCTCCTGAAGCCTTTCCAGACTCAACTGCCGATCAAAAGTTAACCAATACCCGACACTATCCAACTGGCGATACCCCACTCCGACCCCGCCAGTAACAGCTTTCGGACATCCATAACGGGTAAAGATTTCCCGATATTTAGTTATATACTCTCCAGGCGCGAGTGTTGAAGCCCGCTCAGGGACTTCCCCAACTTTTAGCTTATTATGCTCGCCTTCTGGAGCAGGGTCAACAGGCGGCACGCCCACGAGACCAAACCATTCCGCCAGCCGAGGCCACAGTGATCCGTACGTACAAGGTGTCGGCTGGTCAGCGACATTGAACAGCCGACCACCCCCGCACGTCTCTGGATGTAAAGATGCGAATATCATGAATCGCGCAAGTCGGTTACTGGATACGGGAGTAAATAACGACGTAGCGCCTGCTATGGATCCTGGGAACGGGACCTCCACAGCTGGCTTGGCGCTTCCCTGAGTATGTGGTCCGATGCCATTGTTGTAGGCATATAGGGATAAGTATTGCGCCCAGTGCAATGCCAGACTGAATTGCGATCCATTGGGGGTGAAACCAACCTGTTATTACGGTTACGGTTAATTGTTGCATTCGTCAGGATGAAGGTGAGGGAGAAACTAACAATTGCATCCGGACACACTTCACACCAGGTCCAGTTCCTTCCATGGCTGGATGTATTGAGTATCTCGCGATATGCGGGATAAACGACAGTCTTGGCGTAGTCTGGAGGGAGGTTGTTAACCAATTCTTCGTGTAGCGGTGGGGTGAATGTCCCGCCGGGAGAATAGATGCCGTATCCCTGGTCGATATCTGGTCAAAAGTGTTTCTTCTACAAGTTGCATAGATAGACCATGCTTACCCGTGTCCCACCCACAAAGGAGACGAACTGTAAGTTGGGACTGATTAGGTTATGAGCATCAATGACCTTCTGCAGCATCCGTCGGTTGGTAGCGACTTCTTCCAGGTCGTCGTCCATAGCGGTGAAGACTACTCATTGTAAGTAAACTCTATTCGTCAACCACTCTAGACATAACTATACCCAAGTAATAGACATGAGTCACGCCCTGACTATCCTCAACAACCTGCCTCAACCACTCCACCAGTCTATCCCGATCCCAGCTGCGAAGATCAACGCCCGAAGCCAATTGAAGCCGGGGCCGGTGAGACTCCTCCTCTGGCCAGTAAGTGTCCGAGTGAACGAGTGGTCTGTTCGTGACAGCCGTGACCTTTTTGAATGTATCAGCGACAGGGTACGGACTTAAGAGCTGGTTTATTAGCGCCCAGCCAATTAAACCCGAAGCGCCGTAAACAATCGCATGGCCGGGAGTGTTTGGTGACATTCTGGAGTAATGGAAAGCTGCTTTTGATTAATATTGTTTGTATCTTTTCCAAAGTAGGGCAGACGAGTTCGTGGCTTTCTTAAGTAGAAGGTTGCGTCGGGAACCCAAAATGATTGCGGATGGTCGGGATCCGAAACGGGTTTAGCTTGTGATCCACTACTGCATGGCGTGAGGGCTGATGGGCAGTGCATATATAGATTGCAAATCTCCGAATTTGGATTTTCTATACCGTTTCTGCAGGCGAAGATTGAGCCACATGCTACGGTCTATGATTTGCTAGATCGGCATGTGTAGTCGTGGACGGGATCTAGATCCCGGAAACATATTGATGATCGGGTTCTCACAACTATCCGACAAAAGACAATCCAACTAACCGAAAGCTTAAGAAGTCCGCTCAGTGAAAAACGCAAAGCATTTCATCTCGATACTCTCCCGTGGGGGTCCGTTGATATGCTCTGGATCGACGAACGCAGAGTGAAGCAGTGTCACGCTAGATGCAACATCACTGCCCAGCTGCTTGAAGATGAGCGGCTCATCCGGCTGCTGTTCGCTCAGATAATACCAATCATGCTTTTCGTTGTAGACGGGCAACCCAAATTCGACTACATCGCCGGAAACAATTCTGCGATCTGGGACAATGTCTGACGCAGGGTCAACGGATCGCCAATCACACAATGCAAGAGGATCTCTCCGAACTGTATTGATTGGCCTCCAGGCATTGACGACGACATAGGGATAGCTCAGGAGTCGCTCGATCTCAGCTTCACTCAAGACATCCTTCAATACAGTTCTACAAGATGCCTGCGTCATGTCTGAGTGAACACCATGCGATGGAGAATTCATGGTACTCATTTGGTCTCCGTTTTTATTACCCTCGAATCTGGTTCGAGTGAGGTACACAACGACTTCGGATGCGCCAGTTCTGTAAATATGGTCAGAGAAACAAAGTTCATTTGCCCGCTTACTTTGAGGTTTGGGTGAGGCACTCACAGTCGCTTAACTAGCTCTTCCGTAGCGGGCTGAATGATTTGCTTTATTTGAGCTGGGTCATGCCAATTCGTGACCCCAGTAATCTCATGTTTGACATATTGGAAGCCTTGGACATCCAAGGTGAATTCGTGTTCTCTACCGCGGATATCTTTGATCACAACGTCTCTCACATCCGTGATACCCTCGCGTTTAGCATTGCGCCGTTCGGCATCGGGTATACCGGCATCGATTGCTTTCAACCCGTCACGGCCAGGCGGGATTATGTAGTTCAGTGTTGTCGCGATATCGCGCCCAACTCCGACCGAGGATTGAAGATTGGATTCAGTTGCAGTCATATTTAAACGAGAAAGTGTCATAGAAAGAAGAGGAGAATTTCCTTGATGAGAGAATCTTGGAAATTGAGACGGAAACATGTCGGATGGAGATATTTATGCAGTTCTATTATGCAACAGGTGGATAAAATCAGATGGATTAGTTTGTTCCGGTTATGAAAGGAGCTCGGGTTCGTATTCGGCTTCGGATCCAGGATTGATGATCGGCACTAAAGATGCGTGCCTATGAAGGCTTTCGGTTGCGAATATGGAGGGTCCACTCGTCTGAACAGTACAGTATTCAGCATCAGGTATTGAAGACCATGCCAGGAAAACAAGTATTCTCCACAGGGTAGCCGTGTCTCTAAATTCGTAATCTGAACCCACATCCAGCACATGCATATAAAGCAGTCGAAATCTAAGCTACCGCACCATCGCGTTTCTATCCATTACAAGGTACGCATCGCACCCAAATTATGTCCACAAAAACTATTGCCGTCATCGGATGCGGAGGCATGGGCTTGGTCATCGCTTGACGCCTTGGTGCTGGCCGCCGACTATGTATCGCCGACTTCTCCAATGAGATTCTCTCCAAGGCCCAGGAAACCTTGACAGACGAGGGTTACAATGTAGAAACATTCCGAGTGGATGTATCCGACTATGCATCTGTGAGCTGCTTTGCACACGCTGCTGCATCGCAGGGCCCCATCGAAGCAGTCATCCACACAGCCGGGCTGTCACCATCCGCAGGTAGTGCACAAAAGATCCTTGAAGTCGATCTTCTCGGCACTGCAAAATGCTATTGATGCTTTCTTAGAGGTGGCGCAGTCTGGAATGAGTATGATCTGCATAGCCAGTATGGCCGGTCACATGGGATCAGGCTTGCCAGCGGAGTTAGAGCGTCATCTTGCGAGAGCGCCCAGGGATCAATTGCTAGAGCACCTTGCTCTGAAGATCGATTCGGCTGATCCTCATGGACCGCCACGGGCGTATGGTCTGTCGAAGCGCGGAAATATACTTCGCGTTCAGGCTTCAGCTAAAGCGTGGGGACGCGTTGGGGGGAGAGTCAATTCTGTTAGTCCCGGGGTTATCTCTACAAGCGCTGGGAGGCAAGAAATCAATGGTCCAGCTGGGAAGTTTATTGCCATGAGTCCTGTGGGTCGTGTGGGCACGCCGCAGGATGTTGTGAATGCTGTGGCATTCTTGGCTAGTCCCAAATCGTCTTTCATTACAGGGAATGACATTCTCGTGGATGGTGGGGTCGTGTCATCGTCAAAGTGGGATAATTGAAAAGCCCGAGTATCAGTTACCATCAGTGATGAAACATTGCCTTTTTCCCTCTTTTATGTTGATAGGTACTATTATTCTTCGGCCGTATTTCACCTAATTTAAAGCACATCAAATTACCCTGTTCAACAATGGTAGCTGTGTAGTAAGCGAAAATTTGAAGCTGGATACTTGCGACAAATGAGAGACAGTGAATTTATAGTAAAAGTCTCCCATACAGGCTACTGGATCTGGAAGTATACGTATGAACCAAGCATATAGGTTTCTGGATCGTTGATCGATGAATATAGCTTATATTCAGATATTGGTCTGGGCCCAGTTACGTGTCAAAAGAGTGTATCCATACAACGATGCATCGTGCTCATAACTTCCTTCAAAGCAATAAGGAAAACAAATGCCCAATCACATCAATGTAGGCCGCATGTTGACGGATGGTCGTATCCAACCATCTTATCAACTAGACCTGGACGGTAAGGCAGTTCAGAAGACCCTGTGAGCAACCCATGAGTATCTCGCTGCAAAAAGAAAGAACAAGAAGAACTGCTATCATGTTACTTACAATTCCATTAGTCTCGCAGCAAGCGGCCTGGTTGTTGCAGTTTCCAACGAGGGCTGGATGATTCTTAGCAAAGGCGAACATTCCACAGGATAGTTTGATTACTTACGGACACAAAGTGCTGGAAGCACGTTCACGTTCAAGATGCCGTTGGTCAAGCTGGTGCAGCAAGAGTTGGCCTGAGCCGTAGTGCACTGCGATGGATCACTATTGGCTGGTGCAGCACTGGCAAGACCGATGGTCGCGAGAACGGCAAGGATATGAGTGAAGTTCATTGTGGCAGATCAGAATTTTGTATCTCTTGAGATGTAACAATGTGGAAGATTCAGACAGTGTCTTGGGATGATAGAAAACTTCAGGAGGAAGAATGGGATTTTCGATGGTTTATATATCCCTTTCAGCCTTGGGTTCGGTCCTAATTCGGAAGATATTTCTCACTTGATAATTGAATTTGTTATTTCATTTGCATACTTGAGACATAATGTTGATCCAGTAATTGGATAGACCATCTAGCCCCTCATTGCAGGCGCCATGTGGGGGACATTCCGCAAAACATCAGCTTGATACAGTCTATATTTGCGTTGGCTATCGCCATGTATCTTGTCAACTGACCCAACTTCGACTACACTCCGGGGTATTAAGATGCTGAGGAAGGCCTAGATTGCCCTGAAGCGCTTTTCATGCAGGATGACCTACAGACACTATTCGCAAACCCTACCTTGTGCTACCTTCAAAACCTTGATCTCTTGCAGAACGAATATAGACTAGTCTATTATCACGGTAGATGTTTTGGAAGAGTCTAAAGAACAGACATACACCCATGGCAAGCGTGAATCAGGCTGTTTAGCATGATATAGCAACTTGCCAATGAATATGTATAAGGTGGTATGGACATTCCAAGCAAGATCTTAACACATCTATGGCAGGTATTTGACGTCCATTTGCAGTCCTTTACATTTTCCCTACCCGTTCACTAGTCAGTACTTTCATCTCGCCATATACACAGCCTCACTATACTCTTCATGTGAGTCATACCGAAATATTTCGGACAAAAGCATTATGCGAGGGCAAGAGAAACAACGTTTGCTGCATTCCAACCCCGCTGGCGAAGAGCGGGGTGCGTCCTACCCCTTGCAGATGGTCGTAAAAGGTTATCACGAGCATAAGGATACGCCTGCTTAGGTACGGATACTGACTGCCTTATTTCTGGGACGTACAATGCTAGCCTGATCGAAGAACCTGTTGGCGGATGACCTCCGCGTATGTCATCTTGGTTCAATAAAGACTTGACTCGGTTCACATCACGCAGCCCACTTAAGACTCCTTTACGGATACTCTGTCCAGCATGTCCTTCCACCAACCGTTTGGTATTATGATTGTCTGAAATCCCGTGGTTGCCATGATTGGACAATGAAGTGTCACCTATGAAGTTAGTGAAGAATCACTATTAGCCCCTCACATATCGAACCTTGACTTCTACGTCTTGGAGCCGCGTGTCACAGGTGGTAGCGTCGTATGGCTTTCCCAACACAGTGGCGTCGGTTGTCGTTTCCTTATTGACCTTCAACCCCGCTTGAGAGGCAACAGACAGATGTAACCAAAGACACATGCTTATCATGTGCAACCATCAGCATCATGCAAGGGCTACCCATCCTTCAAAATAGCGGGCGAGAATGTGCCATACAATCAAGTCATGTCTCTTCCAGTGAGAACCTATGACAGACTCTGACACAAATAGTCCTCGAAGTGCTTCCCGAAGACGAAGTGGATTCTACCAAAAGGCGTCCCATATCATATGATGAACCGATCTGCAGCTTCACCTTGATTTTCTTCAGGTGGGAATATCTCAATGGTATAGCCGCCGTCACTGCTTACATCAGCTTTTGGTACTTCACATAGTTACATATTGACTTGAGAACGTCATGATATGTGCTGTAGGCGAAGGACTAGTTGGACGAAAGCACATGATGCAGGGGAATGCTGTTGCATGAGGATAATGTTACGGGGCAATATTCTAATAGCAAATGGCTTTGAGAAAGATGAACAAAAGCAGAATAGGCATTGAGGCTGTGTATTCTTTTCATGCAGTACAGTAAGCCTGGATACATCAGGTGTGGCTGTGGTAGAGCTAGAACTGGTTGGGAAGTTGTTTCATCTTCTGCCGATCAGGGATAAGTTGGCACGGGGAAACGGAGCTCGGATACGGAGTAGGACCAGCTGTAAAGACCGATGTTGCGGCGGTGCAGAGTTTAAGGCCCTGTGGAGAACATGCGGTGGGCCGTGGGGGCCAGAACTCAGTTCTGTCTTGCTTGGTTTCCTTGCCCTTTGGGGCGTGCATTTATCTTTTCATGCTTTTCTTCTTTTTCTTTACTTTTTCCTGTCCCTTTTCTCCATTATTATCATTACTATTATTATTATTATTATTATTATTATTATTTCTCTTTTTTCTCTTTTTTCTGCTGCGCATGAGAGGGAAAAGAATATTGGTATTTGTCTATCGTTCACGTTTAGCATGAGGAGGAAGATCAACGAAGAAGGAACTCGACGAAAAGGATTATGCACGGACGGAGAAGCGAAGGACCCAGGGGAGGTGATGGGTGTGAATTGATAAACTAGATCGGGGTAGGTGTAAGCGCTAGTGTGGAGGAGTAGTAATGGTTAGTCAATGAGCGATCGTGTGAAATACTTCGGATTTAGAAGAATAGTCAATGATGGGAAAGCAAATCATATGCGACCAATGCATGGCACAATGAATCTGCCTGTTTCTAGAGCATCACATCAATGGCGTGCGGTTTGAGATGGAGATATGCTTCTATTGAACATGTCTATATGAAAGTTTGAGAAAACCTTTGATGCTCTACTGACTCCTTTTTATCAATAGCTTCCCGGTATTGATTCCTCCCCTGACGTGATAATATACTGCGGATGCGGCAGTCGGACAATGGGCCTAGTCAGATTCTTCCGAAAGTCTGTCGACATTTGGTGCATGTGATGCGATCCCTGGAGGGATTTCGGTTTCAATGCGTGGTGGCGCATGAATGAAGCAACTCACTGCCTGTCTCCGGCCGTTCTGGTGAGAGCCAAGGGACATGATGACGTCCAGGTTGCTGCATGGATGACTGGGCCACGCAAGCATAGTTGTGTCACATACACAAACTGATACGCGGCTTCGTTGATCAGCGCACCCATAGTGGTTGGCTAAAGCTGTCGTTGAGAATATGCTGCATATTGGGAGAGAGAATGAATTCCACACAGTGGAGCATGGCTACTGAAACACGAGGTAGCGTTTGCCCTTTTTCACCTCTCCCTGTCCACCAACTACCAGGCGGCCGACATTCTCAGTCTCCACTGCACCGATATCCTCCCCAATGATTCCGTTCGTACAGTCCAAGATGGCAGTATCTTCCATCCTAGAGGCACTCGTGTTAGTCGCTAATTACCATTAATTAGCAAGCAACTTACTGCGCATTCCCCAGCAGCGGCATTTGAGCTCGCACATCCTTCCGCTCTGCTAGCTGCGCCCCAATCCTCAGCATGGCAAACGCATCATAGGACTCCGTCCACGTCGGGTGCAATCCCGCATAGAAGGCCAAAATCACGAGTCCGACAAGATGCAGGCCGATGACGGTAGAAAGGAATGCGATCGCCCATGGTCGAATCGCAAAAATCTCGACAGAGGTTCCGTCATCCTTAAGGAGGATCCGACGGTAAGCCTGTTGAGTGGAGGCGCGGCCCAGATTGGCCTTGTTGGCAAAGAAGGCTCCTTGGGTGAAGACAGACGTTGTCTGAGGGTCGTCATAGTTCGCAAAGAGCTGACCAAGCCAGGCGGCCAGGTCGTTGAAGAAGGTGGAGTTGGTGTCCGAGGCACAGGGCTTAAGAGCCGCGTATCGCCAGGAGGTAGTATCTTCGGTGTCGGTGTTGGAGAGGTATGTAAATGGAATCGGCTCGGAACACTCGTCTAACGACAAGGAAGTGATGTTCGGTAGAGTAGGTGTTGAGTTGGCGCGATTGGCGAAGAAGGTGGACGGGCCAAAGAGGGCCTTGGTGGCTGTGAGCAAAGGGCCAAGAGCTGGTGAAGTGACGGGGGTGGGGTCGGGATAACCATATCTAAGCCATGTAAGAAGATCATCACGACAAAAATAATTGTGGGTCTTTACCCCAGAACATGTGAGTTATCCAAAGCTCGCACATCCGTACTCTCCTTCTGATCCACAATGACATTCTCCGGATCAAAACTAGTTGCAAGATCGAATGTCTCTAACAAGGGCCCTGTCTGGTAGTTGTTCATATAATTGGGGAGCATGAAATAACCCGCCGTCGTATTCGCACGAATGCGCTGTGTCCAGCTGGCTATCCGGGATCCGTTGGTGAGGAAGCTCATGGCCACTGAATTGAAGTAAATGTATGCTTCCTCCGCGATATCCTGGCGGTTCCGGGTGAGGTTCCACGGGAAAGTCTGCAGATCGCCCAGCGCGCACATCTTTACCTCCATCATGCCGTTGGCAGAGCTCGGGACACCGTAGGAAGCATCCAAAGCCGACAAATTGGCAAGCGTTGAGGCAGAAAAAGACCCTGGTCCGCCGCAGTTGTCGGGATAGGCCTCTTCTGACACTTCTTCTGAGGCAACTGACGTATTAAATCGAAAGGCATGATTGCTGATTATTCCCGTCGTGGCGGAATTGACAGGGATGGAGACAAATGAACTGTTGCCGCGGAGGGAATTGAAATGCGTAGCAGTTCCGGCTTGGTCCGAGTTACCCACACAAAATATGCCCAGCTCATAGATGCATTACAGATCGAGTCAGGTGTCCGCCAGATATTAGGCTGAGAGTCGTACTGAGTAGCGTAGTGGATCAATGCCCTAGTATCCCCAACCGTCTCGATTGACTTCACTTGAGACAAGCCGGTGATGTCGGCGTCAGAAACCAGCGGCGTGACCTTGGATGGTAAACTCTCTACCAAGATGGTGACTTCAGACACGAGCAGTTGCTGTAACGGCCAATTTAGACCACCTAAGCAATTTTTTATCAGCAAGGCCCACATACTATCATCATGTCTCATACCTAAAGCGCAAACAAGAAATGCATAGTACAGGAGCGGACTGCCCAACCGCCGCCGACCCCCAGCAGAAAACAGTCGGGCAAGGATGAAGGGATTCCACCATCCTCGATCAGCCACCGCAAGTAGTTTCCGAAGACTGAATGTCCGTTTATTCCCAGCAGCCTGGCCGTAAACTATAGCGGCGCGGGCGGCAATAAACGAAGAGAACGGGATGGTTAGGACCGCCATGACGGAGTTGATGACCCGAGCGGCCAACCTCCAGCGGCGTGTAGCAGCAATAACCGCAGCGGTGAGGGTGACCTTGGTCACTTCCCTTTGACTGCAAGAAAATGTTGCTGTTGCGTCCGAGTCGGTGACGCCCAGGACCGTTTGAGACGCGCAGGTCAGCTGTCGCGCGCTTTCCCATGTCGGCGTTGAATGGTGATAGAGGAGAGGCCGGTGGGTAAGAATGCACGTCACGGTCCATGAGAAGATGAGGAGCGAACAATATAGTAGAACAATCGGGACCAGGTGCTTCAGGCTTCGGGATAAGGGGCGGGACGTTCTATGTGAATAATCGGCCGAATTGTCATCATCGTTCATAGTCTGAAACGGAATATATTCTCCGCGTAAAGCGGTGTCATCGGACCCCATGATGTGACTTGACTATTAGAGTCAGTTACACAAGAAAGAAAAAGAGACTGGGGACGGATATGCAGGGTCTATCTACTCTTATGATTTACAAGCCTCACGTCGCTGAGTCCCAAAAGAGTCCGGTGTTCTGGAGCATAAACTTCGGCCAGGATGCGCGGATGAGCCTCTCTCAGCTGAGTGGATCACTCAGGGACGGGTTGGCGAGGCTGTGGCTTTAGCGAATCTTATTTGGCGGGTCCAGCACACCCTGAGTGGATTTGACACCCTCGGAAATGCCGACTGGCTTGGCAAGTAACGAGATCAGGCTGGAAGGGGAAGGCCAGTCATCTTCGTGCTCGCTTCGCTTCCTATGAATCGCTAGTAAGCACCTAATCAGTCTTGTCCGACGTAACCTTCACCTTCCACCCCGAGTAGAGCCCTTATATTCCCACTTTTCTCACCTGTATTTGCCTGCTCGGTAGCATATACACCTGAATACTATGACTCACCTATATAATATCTACGCAAGTCATGATTGAACCACGCTGGGAATGGACTAGTCGGGTATGCGACCACAAGGAAACCGTTTATGTTGTTTGCGTTTTTGTCTCTAGGCAAGAAGAACAAGATTCCTCGCACCCCTTTGAGATCTAGCGCAGTTTCCAAATTGCGAGAAATAGGCAGGAGACCACGTGTAGGTACCGTGGGTTATGTTCCGCCTACGCCGATGACATGACGGTCCAGGAACTGTTACACCCAAAAATTTTCTAACCTTTCTTGTACAACCACTCTGCACTTTCAAGATGACCATAATAGACTGCATCGTTCGTCTGTTTTCACAAAACCCACGCGAAAAGCAGCTTTCGAACCTGGAACTCCTTCCTCGCGAACTATTACTCCACATCAATAACTTCCTCACAACCGCTGACATTATCTGCCTCAGGCTATGCAGCCGAACACTGAACCATTTCACAACAAGCTTTTACGACCTCAAGCAAACCCGAGACAGGTCCCTAGCGCTTTTAGTCCTGACAAGGCTAATCCGAGACTCACCCCGAATGTTCTGCTGCCACTACTGCGCCAAGTTGCATCCTATCACTGACGTCCTCCATCCAGCAAGTTCTAGAATTCTTCACCATGCGTGCCCAGACCTGGGAATATTACATGGAAATGGTCCACAACCTTGGATTAGGTGGATAGTATCTGTCCACTGCCTACCCACCCATTACGACTTCCGTCACTGCCACCTGGCCGCTGTCCTGCAGAACTACAAATGTGGCGGCCGATACGGCATCAACGCAGAGTCCTTGGCCTACACCGAGGTGGTTGATTATCCTCAACAACCCGCAATAACGACACTGCTATCAGTTGAAGGACGCGTCTGTACACCTGCCGGAGCCCGCCAAATCCCATCCCTAGTGCTGCAAATACATCATTGGGTTCTCTTTCATGATCTAGAAATGGTCTCGGATCACGACCTCGACGTTCTTATTTCAGTACTCGCCAAGTTGAGTGTTTGCAACTGGCTAAGTGCTGGGCGTGGGAAGATTGGGGATGTTATCCAATCTGCCATTCGGCAACGGGGATTCTGCTGGGATGAGGCATCCATCGCAGAGGGGTATATGCGGTGCTCTCATTGTGGAGTGGAGTTCCAGATTGCCCTTCGAGACTGTGGCGGGGATGGAAAGGCAGTGGTAATCACCAAATGGCTAGACCTTGGAGCTGGAATGGATATTGAGGATCCGAAGTGGAAGAAAGCTACTTTTAATTCCATGATAGAACCTATATACGAGCGTGCTGACGCCATGTCGAGCACGGGGGAGGTGCGTCGACTGTTTTGTGGAACCTCTGATCAATCCAGTGACCCTACACCGCGAAACAGATCATACTTGATGGCGAGACGATATCGTTGGGCAATGTGGAGGTACTCGGGATCTATGTACTATCTATTCCATCGCTAGTCCTAAAACTACGCTAGCCAAGCTCCTAAGCAAGGTTGTTCTATCACTATAAAAGGCTCAGAGCTCCTTTTCAAATGTCCCCACTGGTCCCATGGACAATCACCAAGTCCAGAAAGAACCTCGCTCCTGTCCAGAATGGAAACTACCCATGGCGAAGGCCAACGAGTATCTTCCTCATGCCCCCCCCCCCCCCCCCCCCCCCCCCCCCCGCCCCCCCCCCCCCCCCCCCCCCCCCACCCCAAATGTTCTTCTTAGTTTTCCTCTCCTCTCTCCACGGAACTCAATTCTGAACGTTATCAGCTAGTACTTCTGTACGTGTTCAAGCTTTTGACATTATGGGTTCTGCAGATATCATCTCTATTCTGGGAACGCTGGGTACTTGGGTTGGGGCGCTCCGTCCCGACCTTGAAATCCTACTGCGTTACATTATTCGGCAATTCACACCCATTCCATCCTCATCTCAAGAGCGCATCGTCAAGGCCCTCGAGTCTATTGCCAAATATCAAGGCTCCCAGCTGGTCGTGTGCCGGGAGTCGTTGCTCCTGCAACAGCAGGAGATCAATGGCTTGAAGGCACAACTTGACGATGTGTGTCGGTTGTTGGAGGCGATGCGTACCGACCTCAGCGAGCTGAAGGTCAGACAGTTTCCCACCAGGACGTAAGGACCTGGTAGCTGTTCCATGCCTATGACAACAACGAAAGATGAGTGGTGAACAGAACAAGTAAATCCCCGGGGGGTTGCGATCGGGGTATGGACTTGAAGCTCCCTCGTGGGTGTTCACCTTCAAGTTCGACCCAACGATCGTACATCTATATAGAATCTCAAATGTATCTAGAAGGTTACGTTGTTTACTATGCTTGTATGTAGAGATACCGTCGAGATGAAAATTAAGTCTACGATCGTGGCGGGAAACCTGGAGTTACTTGAGTGTCGGATGCTTTCGAGGCCCGAGTGAAGACTACCCACGAGTTTATGGGGGTCCAGAAGTTGCGACGACTATGGTGTGGAAAGTAAGTATTGAGAGAGGAGGCCTTGTGCATCGTCTTCACAGCATCCTGCTGCTCCTACTCATCTCAACCAATCTCAACCTCAGCCTTGTTAACCCCACCACCACCCGCTCTCTTGATCCTTAATATTCACCCGCAGAGACTCGCAATGCGTGTTCAGCAGGGCTGATGCAGCGGCGTGTTTCCAAAGTCGTATCTGTGATGAGTACCGTAATTTTGCCTTGCGAGGCCGAAAGGATGGATAGGGTAGTAAGGAGGGATGAGACAATATCTATTGATCGGCATATCAGTATGCGGGAGTTGTGTCGTAGAAGTAAATAGCTTCCTCGGTTACCCAAGTTCCCATCCACTGCAGGAAAACCCAGTAGACTTGAACTACTTTCACATTGTTCGTGCAGTTAAGTGTCGATTGCGGTATGAATCATGTATGCTGGGTAAATGGAGATGGTTGATATAGTGTGGAGGTCGGAAAAGAGAGTTTGCACGTCGCTGAGACGGTCGGGGTAGGATGGGTCGTTGATCGTGTCGAGGTGGTTTTGGTAGATGACGGGTGGGAGTTCCGCCATTACCAGATAAGCTTTCAGATAAGGTGCAGGGGTCCGTCTGAATATGGAAAACTCGTTATGTGGGGTGCCATTATGGTATTCTTACAGATCTAACGAAATGGCGTGCACTCGGACTTATTAAGCGTATATTTTTTAGCGACTCAATTGACACCGAGTACGTATTTCTGGCTCGGGAAGCAATTGCTAACACTACACTAATCTACTAGTACCTATTTATCTACCACCAATCCACATCTTCGTCTGACCTACTAGATGATGTTATATAGTAGAGCTCGAGAGGTTCAGGATGATGATCGTGGCATATATAGGGTCTGTATCTTCAGAACTGGTGAAACATAGAATTCGGGTGCCCTCCCAATTGTTTCTTTCATTCCCTATTATGTCTGGACCATTAGATCCATCAAAGACATTCCCACTAAGATATGCTGATCGTAGACGGTCGACACCGATGATAAGGTAACTTCTGGGGACGAACGCTGGTGCTCGGTCCACCATCCATGCACGTAGCCGGATCGAGCCGTGCGCTATACCTCACGGACCATGAAGGAGAACTTCTTATTTCTGTGTATTATTTTCATGTACTTTGTAGTATACCATGCTGACCTATCATCATAAGAATGTGTCGGGTCACGTGGGATAGAGTGATAAAGCTATCCAGGAGGACCAGGTAGAAGACATTACGATTCATTATGCATAAAGCTAGAGCTATGTTTCTATCTCATTCGTTGGTTGTCAAACGCATTAAACGCAGGAGTACCCGACAAACACGATGATGGAGCCGAAACATGCACGTTCAAGGAAGGCCAAGCTCAGCTGCAAGCCCCGCCTCTTCCCTCCTCAATGCCCGACGTGGACAACATCAGGTGATTATTTAGATGGTTCTTTGAGTGAGAGCCTCCTTCATGTCATTTCTGAAAAACAACGAAATCCGCAATCTTGTAATCATCAAGAATAAATCCATCTGACCTTGAACAAGAAAATGACATTCGAAATATACATTCCCTCCTCCCTCACCTTCCAGGATTACATCGCCATCTGCCAATGTGCGCGCACATTCGCTGATGGGTACGACCGGAAGGTAAACACTAGTTTTCATAATGATTCACTTCTAATAAATCACAATACCATCAGAGTACAAACGACTGACATTCTTTGAATTCAGGACAAAACCCGCCTCCGCGCCGCCCTTGCCCCCACCGTCATAGTCGACTACAACAAAGTCCTCCCCCACGTCACCCGGGAGACCTACGAAGCCGATCACTTTGTGGAGAAATGGCTGAACCCAACAAACCTCGGCAACAAAGCTCTGGCGACGCAGCATCTCCTCGGAGCACCATACTTCAAGTTCGCATCGGAGGAGAAAATCGTCGTACAATGGCAGCAACTAGCGAGCCACGGACGATGGGTTGACGGCCAGGATAAGACACGCCCGGTTCTGTGCAAGATCGATGAAACGTCAGATGGGAGGAGCTGGATGCAGCAGACGTATGTTAAGGTGGATGGGCAGTGGCGAATTCAGGTGCTTGAGCCGGAGGTTTTGTACCATACAGGGGATTTTCAGAAGATTAGACGGCAGGATGAGAAGGATGCGGGGAATGTTTAGTTTTTAAATGGAGGACGTTGTGGTTGAGGAGGTTTGAAGTTGCTATTATGGCGATGTGCTACGTTGTCATTGCGGGACGACAGAATCCGAAGGAAGGACACAGGAAATTACAAATTTAAATTTGATCTATTCGGATCGTTTAATGCAGGGAACTGGGTAGGAGTAGTTGGACGATATTCTACGTCTTAGAACCATCTTCTTTGGTCTTGACTAGCTTGTGTTGGTCAATGATTTGGCTAACCTTGCGAGCATCGACCTTATGCAGATTACGGGCTATATTTGACCTCAATGTCATCCAGTGCATTGCTAGAATGACCTGTGGCTAATGACAGACTAATGTCTGTACAGTTTGTATCCCAATAATTAATTTGCTGCTGCTAAACGGCCCCAGTTCTATGGAACCCCTGAGCCAGAAAGGTGTCGCACGATGTAATAGCCCACATTGCATACCAATCCCCCGAGCTGGCGGGCCCCAGTGAGTGCTGCGTATACACCTCGCGGGCGAGTTTCAGAGACAGAAAGCAATAGCTCGGTAGAAACGGGATCGCCTGTGTCTCTGCCAGGCCGGCCCACGTCTGCACAATTTCGGCAGCGACCTGGCGGGCACGACGAGCCAGGCTTTCCGAGTATGTCGTGGCCCGGGCTATTTTTCCGTTGTATAGTGCCAGTGAATATGTCAAATACAGTATGTATAGTGCGGCACGATGAACACAAAGCGTAAATTCCGTGGACTCCCGTGGGTGCTCGATCAAGGTCCACTGGGATGAGTAGCGCACAGAAGTAGGTAGATTATCCAGCCACCGTTTGAGTCTCGTTTCGACACTTGCAACTAACGCTGGGTCGAGCTGTCGCATTTTCCATAAGAGAATAGCTGGCTTCATACCGTCCTCTAGTGCATGACGGGTTTGAAGGTCTAGGTCAACGGTGTAGAGAAGGCGGTACATGCAGCGGATAAGTTTCGAACGCTCGATTAGAATACCACAAAGCTTCGCATGATATGGTGGCTCCGGGATGCTCTCGCTAGTTGGACCCTCGCTTGTTGCACAAAAGGTAACATTGATCATGGCTCGATCGAATACTGAAAACACGTCGGGAACGAACTGACAGTTGAGACTCGGCGGCCGTCGTATTTGGAATGGGGCATCCAAAGCGAGGGAGATCGTGAGGTCAGCGGTGTATAACGACCAGACTAGTCGCTCACGTAACGAAGGGGAGATTGTGCAAAGGTACTCTGTATTCTGGTTAACTATTTCATCTGTTGGATCCAGGAGGCCTGCGTCGATTGCGACTGAGAGAGCATGGTGAATCCAGTATCGGGACTCTGAAAGACTAGCTTCGGATAGGTTTTCCCGGATACTCAGCAAGATGAGTGCTTGGGTCATGAAAATTGGATTGCGCTCGATCGAAAAATTGTATAACATCTGTGCTGGTCAGTTATGTTGCTTGAGAAAAAGAATTTGGGATATGCATGCATGCACTTACTCTCGCCCTTCTACGTATGGCCCTTCCGATAGTATCTCTACTTGGATGGCCCGCTGCCTGTAGTTCAAGAGGGTCCATGTAGGAGCTTCCCGCATATAGGATAGCTTGGTACAGAAGTGGGTGAGGGAATTGGCGGTCGTCATTGTCAAGCAGTCTTTGAAAGAGATGTGAGATCTCGAGAACAGGAATGAGAGGATGCACCCATCGTAGATAAGACTGCAGAAGAAGGTCACGTAAATCCTCGCTTGGGGGTAACAGTGCCCCACTGGATTGTAGCTCTTCTCGGTCCTTGAAAGCGATAGAGGTGAAAGCACAGGCTTGAAACTCGCGACACGACACAGAGTGGAGCATCTCAATTCTCATTTCGACAGAGGAGGCCGGTATGGTGTCCTGACGGTTGGGGGGTAGGGGTTTAGATGAAACCTGCCGAATGCTGATTTGCTTTCTCAGGATTGAGTTGGTACGGTGGTAGTATTTATTATATTTGCAATAAGAAGACCAGGTCTCTCACCAACAGTTAAACAGTAAACTAGCCGTGTTATTTTTGCTAAGTAGCAGGAATTAGTGCTTACTGACATTGTTGCATGGTTAGTGTATCCTTGCAGCTGAACCCCTAGTGTGGTGAATCATTCTTGAACGCTTTTGCTGATGCCTGGGAGACCCTGGTAAGTCAGAGAGCCGCGGGATAAACCACGGACTCTGATTCAGGCGGGCAGCAGATTTAATTGCTCCATCAATCAGATGCTCCGGATAGATAACAAGCCCCCTCTAAAACAACACCTATAATCTTCTTCTATTATGATCCACAGTCCCACCCAGCCCAATGAGAAATGCCCTCTGGCCTACGAATGTGGATATGAATAGCACTATTTGCTGCAGTCTCATACTAGCGTCTCATTGCACCATATAATCATGATCAGAAAACTATCGGCTACCATATATTTCCGTCCTTAGAGAAGTAGCAAGGTGGGAAGTAATAGTGCAGATTGAAAGGTGCAATGGTGATAAAAATTGGTCTTCCTGATAACTAAATCAAAATAAATAACCTGGAAACAATCTGGCGTGCCAGCCCAGGCCTCAATTATGCGACCTTCTCCGGGCCCGCACATAGAGATTGCTGGGCTTGATGGTTTGGAACATGGAATCATATTCGATCCGATCATTGCCTTCTCTGAAAAATTCATACCGATACACTAGCATGGCGATAAACACTTTCACCTCGCGAGCAACGAAGTTTGTCGCCACACACATCCGGGGCCCCATAGCAAAAGGAATATAGGCTCCGCGGTGTCGATTCTTCACCCTTTCCGTATCCCACCTTTCAGTCCAAAACTGAGTCGGATTATCCCAAATAGCCGGATTATTGTGGATATGATGGATTTCTGAGATAACCACGCTGTCCTTGGGGACCCGATACCCCCCAGGAAGGATAACGTCTTTGCGGGCCGTTCTAGCGGGCTGGAACGATGTGGTATGGCGTCGTTGAGTCTCCTTGACAAATTTATCCAGATATGTTAGTTTTCCTATAAATTCGCCAGTTACTTCGGAATTCTCGGTCATGTTGTTGTTGATTAGCTCTTGCAGGAGCTTTTCCTGGACTCCCGGGTACGTTACCAGACCGTAGATGAGCCAGGAAAGTAGGGAGCTCGTCGTTACGAACCCTGCTGTTAGTGCCACAATGAGCGCCGGGTTTCGACTCTCGTCGCTCAACTTGTTGCCCTTGCTGTCCCTGGCACGAAACAGGTAGTCTAGTAAGAGCACGTTAGTTCTATACAATGCAGTTTGAGGAAATGAAAATACCTGCGAGACTCTTCGTTTTCACACCTGCCTCCTGAATAGAGACAGGCCCTTCCCCAATGGATGCCTTCTTGACAGACTCTCCAACTAGAGACCCTACTAAATGCCACGTATCTCGCAGACGCTTTGGATCACCAAATGGTAGCCAGGTATACCAATCTCCCCATGATGTGACTTTCTTGTTCAACCCCAGCAGTTTGACGATAGCCTTAGGAATGTCATGGATGGGTGATTCAACCCGCTCAAAGTGGCCAAAATCAGCACCAATTATTAGCTCTCCGACTAACTGCGAGGAAAGTTTCAGCATGAAGCTATACGCATTCCATGCTTGGTTGGATAGGTCAAGCTCGTCGAATATCCGAAAGGAAGTCCGCACAACCGCCTCCATGCGCGGGGTATAGGCTGTAATTGCCTTGGGACTGAATGCAGGTACAATAAACTTATGGCCTTCTTTCCACTCTTTGGTGGCTGTGTTGGTGAGAAAGATTCCCGCATGCGCACTTTTCACTCCATATAGCGGATGCGCATGATTGATGTCCTTGGTGAAGAACTCGGTTTCAGCAAACGCATGAGCAGTTAGGACTGGGTCATTGGTATGGTAAACAACCCGGCTCATGACTGTTGTCTGGAACAGTGGCCCATAAAGTTCGAAAAGGCGTTGATGGTTGCCAATATGGTCAGGGTATACTTCACAGTGGCTCCCAAGTAGAGGGAGTCCCTTGGGTCCCGGAACATCACGGACTGTTTCGCCATCTACTAATATGCCTATTGGCGCGTTTGCTGCGAGGATATCTTTCGTAGAGTCCAGGTACTTGTTATCGATATGAAACGATATCCCTTCGAAAGGCGTGTTAGTGACGTTGAGAATTTTCCGAGGTTGTACCATTTACATACCTTGTGGCTCGATAATTGCGAAATGAGATGCGACCTTCTTCCGTATGGTGTCCAGATCGAGCTTGCTTCCCACGTCGACCGTGCATACAAACGACTCATACTGACCGCAGAGATAGAATTGCCTTGCTGCCATTGCGAGTAGATTGTGGGATGGTCAGGCCTCAGAGTGTTCCGTACTCCAAGCTTGGAATGGCCGTAAGATAATATTATTCACGTCAAAGATAATTGTCGCATAAATATGTATGGAGTATGGACCAAACCCCGATGCTACTCGATCGCTTATCTCTAACCCGAGGCTGATTACTGAAAGGCATGAATATTCCCGCGGGGTCGGCTAAAGGGGCGGTAGTCATTCTCGCAAGAATTTGATTGCAGTGGAAGTATTGAGCCCGATGATAAGAGAATTTGAATATCCTGGACTGCGGACTCAGGATTGCACGGGCGAATCATGGTTGACATGCGACAGGCTAAGGATCAGATCGCACAATCTGACTCTCCTTGGCGGGTGACACTAAGCCGCGGTGTGGTCAACTTAGTACTAGCAATAAAATCCTTTAGCTCAGGTGCTTGTCGTTGTCATTATGGGTTCGGACCAGTAATATATATACCCGTCAAGCCTTAAATGTTAGCCTTGTGTGGAAGCTGTCGGAAGGTTATGTTCACCCCACGAAATAGTAAAAAAGCTATATAGGTTCGGGAGGCTGTAGTATATTCGTTTATACTTGAGCAGTCGAGTAACTCTTTGGAAAGGACCTGGCAAAGGCTCGTAGAAAATGCTTAGGCTTGCATTGAAGGGACGACCGTGACCATTATTTGAGCAGAGCGAAGGATCCCCACTAGTTTCAACTACTGCATGTAAGATGGCACGATAAGCATTATTATATTAAGTCGGTTCGTATGTACGGCAAATTCATTTACTCATCGAGATGATCTATCGTGCAAATTCGCGAGGAGCTCATAGGATAAGAAGATGTTGAGCTCTGCTCTCGTCCCTCACTTTTCATAACATCTCGACAGGTATCTCTAGCAGTATCAACATGCAAAACTTTTCCTCCGCCGAGGTAAAGGAGCTAGGTGCACAACGATCCCTAATTATCATTCATGGAAAAGGTAAGCGTAAACGTCTTTCTTCATTCCGCTATTCAACCGAAGTTTTCGATCAGATTGAATACTAAAATGGTGTCGCAACCTTTACAGTCTATAATGTAAGCGGCTACTTGGATGAGCATCCTGGAGGGAGGGACCTTCTGTTGGATGTTATTGGCACCGATGCGACAGAACATTTCGTACAAGCGGGGCATTCCCACGAGGCACAAGATACTCTCGCTAGTTTTGTTGTTGGCAGTGTCAAAGATTACCAATACAAAGTTCCGGAAGAGAAAAATAGTGCTCTTTATCAAATGGACAATGGGCCCACAGCATCTTCCCAGGTATGGCCGCGGCTCGCAATGGCCGTGCCTGGTGTTGCCTTCTTGGCCTTGTTCCTGCGGCTTGTGGTTCGTCATGGCGATGTTGGGGGTACATGGATTCGTCTCCCATCAGTTAGCATGTCTTTTTTCGCCCTCGATACGCCGTCAACATTGTTGGTATTTTTGATTGTTGCTTTATTGGTTCTTCTTGGAGGCTTTACTTATTGGGTGTCGACCATCATTTATGTCGAGTTCGGGTACGGGAATTATCCAGAAGTGATCCCTGCGAGTAATTAGAAGACTTTATTTGGGAATGAGGCGAAAAATTCCCATTTTTCTATTAGACAATAGTTAGGCAACCGGATAATGGAACAAAGTCTTTCTCATCGCTCCATCTCAGTCTTGAAGTCTTCCGCAGTCATTCATTAAGAGTGTTGATGCGGAAATGTTTGGCGGCTTGCTGGATAGGCAGCCTTATCAAACAGGTGCTATACTTAGATATTAGACAATGAATATCATTCTTCTCGCAAGCGATCATTTGTACCCGAGGGCGATCACAAGACAGTCGAATAGTGGATTCTCCATACTTGAGGTGATATGTTAGGTGGAGACTGGTGAGACAAGAGACGGTCTGAGCACTTGCCGGTCCACTTGCCGGTCCGCCTGCCGATCCTCAGATCGGAGGCCCTGATTATCAAGCGTTCTCGGTAACCGGACACTAACATAGAATAAGTCACGTAGACATCCGATCTTGTACTAACTATGCTCTGTTTGTCACTGCTGACGCTCACTATACCTAATATTAGAGACTCTATATACGTTATATATGCGTTGTAAGTATGCTCTTCTCCCTCTAGAAGCTCTCGAGATTATCTCCTTACTGGCGGTTGTAACAAATACACAGCAATTAACCTGGTCTTGTCTTTGGCTTTCAAACATCGTTATTTTTGTTCTTCTAATTGTGCAATGGAAAAGGCCCCTGACGACGAAGAACGTGACCGCGAGCCAACAGTCTTCGGAGCCCATCCAGTTGACTCACCATTGTCCAATGCATCGCCAGCCCGTCTGGAATATACCTACCCTGAAGGAGGACGCAGGGCTTGGCTAGCAGTTGCTGGTGCCTGGTGCTGCAACTTTTCCTCTTTTGGCTGGACCAGCAGCATTGGCGTCTTCCAAGCATATTATTCAGAGCACCAGCTCTCCTCGTATTCATCGTCCTCGGTATCATGGATCCCTTCGGCTAACCTGTTTATGTTGATTGTCCTGGCGCCTGTGTTTGGAAAGATATTTGACAACTATGGACCCCGTTACGCCGTGATATTAGGCGCGTGCGCTCACATTCTGGGTCTAGTATTTTTGAGCCTGAGCACGGAATACTACCAAATGTTTCTCTCCCAGAGTATTCTATCGGGAATCGGTGCATGCTCCCTTTTCTATTCTGGAATAAACGCAGTTAGCACCTACTTCAAAAGAAGAAAGGCTCTCGCTAATGGTATTGTGGCTAGTGGCTCATCGCTGGGAGGCGTTATCCTACCGTATGTTCTCCCTTCTACATGTGCCGAAAATCCAATGCCGAATACGAACTGTCCCGGCGCTAATACTCATATCTTGCAGAATCATGTTCGACTACTTGATAGCGGACGGATTGAGCTTCGGTTGGACAATTCGTGCTATTGCATTGACGTTTCTCATTCTGCTCTCGTTTGCTAGCTTCGTTACGACCTCAAATCTCAAGCATCAGCCAAAGCCAGTTTCTTTGTTGTCCTTCGTGCGCCCATTCAAGGAGCTCAAATTCGTCCTGCTGGCATTAGCTGCCTTCTTTACCTTCTGGGGTGTATTCATTCCCATCAACTACATCGTCGTCTATGCGAAGAGTCTGGGAATGTCATCGATCTTCTCGAACTACCAACTTGTCGCATTGAATGCAGCGAGGCAAGTGTTGCAATACCCCAATATCCTCTGGTTAGGCCAACTGAGAAAGGCTAACATTATGACAGCGTTCTAGCACGTGTCGGGTGTGGATTCATCGGCGATCGATACGGCTGCTTCAACACGATCATCATCAATGTCGTGATTGTCATTGTGTCGATATTTGTGCTTTGGTTTATCGACACACCTGGAACGACTATGGCATTCAGTATCGTCTTTGGCTGGGGCTCTGGCTCTTTTATTTCTTTACTCCCTGCCTGTATCGCCCGGATCTCCGACATAAGGGAAATCGGTGTGCGAGTGGGGATGATCTATTTCGTCTCGGCGTTTGCCTGTCTAACAGGTAACCCGATTAGTGGGGCTTTGATTCAAGGGACCAACTATCGCTGGATGCAGGTCTTTGCGGTCCTCGTGATCTTTGTGGGACTTTCGTTCTTCGTTGCTCTTCGAATGGTACAGAGTCGCTCTTTGATGAAGGTTGTCTGATCTATCAGTAATCTTGCACTATATGGAGTGACTAGATCAGAGAAAGGTAAAGGGTCGAGAAACAGAATGATAGACAGCATAGACGCTTGCGTGTACACACTGGAAAATACGGTGATCTGTGTATTTTGACCCTTATTAAAACACATTCTTACTAAGAAAAAGACAAAATATGTGTGAGGGATAGAAAGAGAGAGAAAAGAAGGAGACAATACCTTGCGTCAGCTATCAAGGAAAATCTTCGTAGTTTGCCCAAGGATCAATTAGAGGCAGCTGATAATTATACCGAACACAAGCCAAAGCTTCCTAAGCAGCTAAACAAGACGTTTTTCATTTGCATCAGTACCAACAGGGGGGTCCCACCCCTTGTCAATGCAATCTAAGGCTAACCGTCAGTGAAATTTTATATAGAGAAGTATCAGACCCGCCGGATCCAGATCCTATATATGTAGGACTGCCCGTAATCCCAACTTTTATGATACTTTTTCACTAATGGACAGTTCTTACATGTCATCTCACAGAGTATCAAGTGCTTAAGATTGATAATGCTAAGGTCTGGGGTGTTGATCCGGGGTTTCTCAAGACAGGGCTGGGAAACATGGATCCTGCAATCGTGGAGAAAATTGGTGCAAAGGATCCTAGTATTGGCAGTATCTGTATTAAGGAGGTGGTTGAGGGCGCAAAAGATGCGGATGCTGGAAAGGTTTTTCATGCGCAATGATACATTCAGGACTGGTAGAAGAGACAGAGCACACACGGCTGGTAAAGGGCTCAATGTAGTAGAACAATCATGTTACTAAATAAGGACCATAGATGTACGCCACACCCCAACTATGTCCCCCAAATTCTAGTTGCGCAAAGACAACTTGCACATCAATGGAGGCTTCTCCCATAAAGTAAAAGTCTTCTGATCTGACCAGTTCTTACTTTCCTCGCAAATCTCTATATCAAAATTCCACAGCAGACGGGCTATTATTACTCGCATTTCAGCAAAAGCCAGGTTCCTCCCGATGCAGTTACGAGGACCAATGGAAAAAGGTTGGAGGACTTCTCGGTTATCCGAAAAAAATGGCGAAGCCGGGTCTGTTTTAGCTTCTGGTAACCACCGCTCAGGAAGATAGCGCTCCGGTGCGTGGAAGTTACGAGGTGAGTAATATGCAGCAATCGGATGCACAAATACTTTGGTCTACATGCGTCGCCAAGTTAATGTCCAGTAATCATTGTGGATGGAGGTTTCTACTCACGCCAGGTGGGATTTCATAGCCCGAGATGAGGGTCGGCTCGATAGTCATACGTGTGAGCCCGGTCGGAACAGGAGGATACATGCGAAACGCTTCATCGATGCAAGCTTGCATGTATGGGAGCTTCGCGGCCACAGAGCTGACGGAAATATCGGCCTCGGACTTCATGATGGAACGAACTTCGGTGGTTACTTTCGTGAGAGCGTCGGGGCTCTTTAGGAGCCAATATGTGACGCCGCAGAGGATCGTGGCAGTTGTCTCACTGCCAGCAATAATAAGAACGTTAGCATTAGCCACAAGCTCTTCGTGAGTCAAGCCGTCTTTTGTGCCGCTATTCCGCAACATCGAATCCATAAAATCCCCTCGATCATACTTCGATGCATTGTCGAGTCTCTTCTGAACAGTTATCCTAGTATGTGCCCGTTGCCGCTCCCGTGCATTTAGGAGTGTTTTTGGCATGGCGAGGGCTATGAGTTTGAATATTGTCGGGTATGCATCTCTTAACTTGAGGAATGGTAAGAGCTTGAGGAATTGGAAGATCGTTGCAACCCAATAGTGATACTGAGAGCTTTCAAGACCTCCAAAAGGTTCTTTAAAAGCCAAGTCACCGATAATGTCGAAGGTGGTCAAATTGTACCACTTGACCATATCAGCTGGCAGCTGTGACTCTGCGATATCTTTCAAACGGGAGATCAGTTTGTCTACGTAGCTGTTGATGAGGGGCTCCTGGGCCTGTAAGCCCTTGGCGGAAAAGGCGGGTGATAGGGCTTTGCGGAACCGACTGTGGTCTGCTGCGTTGGCGCTAACTATGTCCCTCGGGTTGGCAGCGGAGCTCGACACTTTTGGTAGTTCATGGTGGCCATACCCGTGAATCCTGTTCCATGCTTCTGCTGTGTTGAAGGAGACTTCGTTGTGGGTGACGCGCACCACAGGGCCGTACTTCTCATGGAAGCGATGTATGTCGGTATCTAATCGCCCTCGGACTGCTGAAATGTGTCGGAAAAGTGGAAGGATGATCCATGATTTAGGACCCGGAATGTGTCGTAAGGGATGAAGGTATAATGAGTGTATTATACTAAGTATGGAGTAAAGGAAATAAATGCCAGGCGCTATAGCTAGAATCAGAGGGTCCAACATGGTGGTTATGGTGGTGGATGTCAGTGACAGTCAATGAATGAACTCAAGGTCCCGGAGGTGTAAGGTAGGCCCCTAGGATATTCATATACTGTCTCATTCCCCCGCCTAATGCATGTGGACTTCAGCCTCTCACCTACCTATCTACCCACTGCAGATAGTAACTCATGGAGAGGAATCAGCGAGGCTGAATCAGCGCACCAGATTTACCCGTCGGTCGCGGCCAATCGGGCATACACACGAGACAACCTCAGAAATTAGGGCGACGTGTCAGACGAACTAAACAAGCAGCTCAGTCAGACAGGTCAATCAAATTCCTTGAAATAGTATCAAGATTCCTCTGAACAAGATGGCCTAAACTCTGAACTTGTCATGTGTGAGACTTCCGGCCAATCATCAGCTTGGTAAAGCTGCAGATGCTTCCACACTTAGTCCTCATCCCCACTTGGCTAAGCCCCCACGACAGCACTTAAATATTCAGCTCCCTTGAGAGGAAACCTCTTCGGGACAGAAAGACCCAACAAAACGCGACAGCCGAAATCGGGTGTTGGAAGAAAGAGTAGCCTTTTGTGAGCAGCACCATGGAAACATCTGCTCACAACAAGTCGATCGCCATTTACCAAATGAGATAGAGGTTCTCCAGTACGAGAAACGAGAAATTGCGCGCACGTCTACAATCTTTACCGAATATACTCCTATTCATGGGATAACGAAGAACGACCCGCATCTAGGGAACGATAACGACAGCGCTCGGTCGTCAGCCCGACAGACCAAAGTATATATCCGAGCAGACCTCTCATAGCTGCAGGAGAGGGAGATCGCAGATCACAGGCAGACTAGCCAGAATTAATGATCCCGCCTTTCGTAAGCACTACTGCAGTCACTACGCACGAGATACTGGGAAATATTCCGGCACCTCCCACTCAATCGCAAGACCCGGCCTGGGGGGCTTTGCCAATGCCATCCCGTCGGTCTCGACCTTCTTCCCTGGCCGTAGCTACGTTCCAACCTTGTTCAAATTTGGCACGAGTATGACTACATGGAATCAACGAGTTATTTGAGCTGCTGTATGAAGGTGCGGTACCCTTGGGGAAAGGCGATTCTCGAACGTGACGAGCGTGATGATTTGCAGATTTCTCAAGATTTCCTTGATGCCTTCACTGAGGAAAATGGGTGGGGTTGACATCGGGGTCTATAGCCAATCACCCGGAGCTGTTGGAAGGCATGGATGTTGAAGCTGTGCGGTTCCAAGTAACGATGGGACAGCCATGCTAATCATCATACCCTAAAATGCAAGCGGCAGAGACAAGTCAGAGGGACGCGTCTCTGTCCACTCGAATACCTGTCGATAGAATTTCCATGCTATCTTAGAAAAATAAGTACGTGGCCCTTTCAATTCACTGAGTTCGCCAGCCCAAGACATGTTTAGTATATTCATCACTACCACCGTCATTCCATAAGTGTAAATAAAAGATTACTAGAACAAGCCGAGGTCTCCAATGAACCTGATACTGTCCGAAATATCTGTACAAGCTTAAGATATATTACGAGTGCTACCGGTTAAACAACTATAAGGGCTGCTATATTCAATTTCTAGAACTGGGTGTACAGGCGGTGATGGAGTTCGGAAACGTTTTCCATTCCACCAAATTGCGGCACGCGCAAAGAATGAGTATCATCCTCATAAATTTGTGAAAACATGTGGGATTTCTCCCAAATTACCTCATCTCTTTGAAGGATTTATCCACATTCAGAAACATTCTAGAAAATTTCTCGATTTGTGAGTCACTCCTGATGTCATTAGCGTCCATCGGGCAAACATGATCATCGCCCTAACGATCTCAGCTGCGCCCCGTGGCTGGAGATTCCTATATCTGAAACATCTTGCTTTTCGCCACTTCTACGCGGTTTTCCGATGTAAATAAACGTTTTCGAGGTCAATACTGACATCTGTTCACTCTTTAATTCTTATTCTTCCCACCTTCAGTGTTGACCAATTGCCATTACGGATCCCACATTTGTTCTTGATCGTTATAGAATCTACCGCCAAGGCCAGCAAGACCATCAGTACCCGCAGCTTCTCCACACACCGGAAACATCACCGCGATACCCAACGACACCAGGACAGCGTTGTGTCTCCAACTTCTGAACTAGTAACAATGGGAGCCCTTCAGTTACCACCCGGCATTGACCCAGACGATATGATCGGGCAAGGAAGCAGCGGAATAGCAGCCCTGGATCCCAAAACAAAGCACATCATAAAATTTCCATTCAACGAAGACGAGGCACGGGCTGCATGCGATCGCGAAAAGGAGATTTACGAGCGTTTAGAGCGCTCACCACTCCCACGGCCATCTTCGCTCTTGAAATACTACGGCCCTAGAGACCAAGGAATTCTCCTCGAATACGCAAAGCACGGTACATTGCGGAGATATGCATATGGCTTGGATCTTCCAATCCCACTCCCTGCGATTCTTCGCTGGGCCAAACAAGCAGCGGAAGCGCTACAGTTCATCCATGAAAGTGGGATAGCTCATGGCGACGTTAGCTGTGTGAGCTTCTATGTGGACCAATTTCTGGACGTGAAGGTCGGTGATTTTACCCGGTCGTCGGACGCCACACCGCAGGCTGTGAAGCAAGATATATCGGATTACGGCTCGGCTCTTTATTATTTGGTTACAGGACAGTATCCTTATCAAGGCCTGCCAGAGAAGGAAGTGGAGGAGCGCTTTAGGCGAGGGGAGTTTCCGGATCTTACGGATGTGCAGGTGAAATCTATTATTCATCCATGTTGGGCGGGTCATTATACTGGCTTTGTGGGTGTTTTGGAGGATTTGAGGGAGCATATTCGGCTTCTATGAGGATGTTGGACATTGCTATGTGTTGTGCTGGCGGTCTAGATGCTTGCTTGTGTGGGAGGTATCTACAAAATCAGAGTCCCGCTATTTAGTTCAAAGGTTGCATGTATACAAGGCGTCACCATCGCAAAGGAAAGTCTAGAATAAATAAAAATATAGGTAGTCTACGATAGGTCAATGCTAATGGCAGCCTCTTTACTTTTCTTCCTACCTCGGAAACCGTTCCAGGAGGAAACCCCCATCTCTTGGGTGAACTCTACCAAGTTTCTCCAACGGTAAAGGACACAGGACGAGTAGCTGGTGCTGCTGTTCCCCAGCTGTACTTGAACCTTCTTCAGGCTACTACGGGTGGTTCTTCACCTATTAATATCCTGCGCGGAATCGAAAAAGTGCATCTTCAGCCTGGAGAGTCGAAGAGGGTCACTTTTCCTTCGACTAGGAGGGACCTTAGCAATTGGGATGTGGCGAAGTAGCAGTGGGCCATTGCAAGAGGAAAGATTCAGGCTCACGTGGGGTAAGCTATAGCATGTCGGTAAAATAAATTAGGTATTATCACTTGCATTATCACTTGCATTCGTGGGAGGCCAGGAAGTTCGCTATTTAGAAACGATGTACAACATATACAAGGACCCGGGGATGCCCCTAACGAGCGAAAGGGCCGATTTGGTGCAGAAATGGTTACCCACCAGGTATAAGATCGACCAGCACTGGGTGTTTCTGTTCGGTCATTGGGTGCAAAGTGGAGGTAGGCAAACGCATCATTTTGCGGCCCAATTACTCGTCGCCAGGGTTACCCCGCATTAGATTGTCCTCGCCAGAGCTGAAAATGGGCGATAGAACCGACGACGGTTGGCGGGACTTAGAAATACTCAAGCACAAGACTGCTGTGGGACTCTGAAAGTTTTTCGTGCAATAATAAACGGCTGATAGAAGAAGGGAATGAATGCCTTATTCTGTTCAGAGTCTTCCGACCCTGTTTGATAGCCTACTCTGATGAAGTGGCTATGGAGAAGCGAGGATTCATACAGTTATCCCAATCAATTTTATAATGAAGATGCGGCTACTGGAATACGCAAGACGAGCTCTTACTTTGATTGGCGGGATGTTTGGCCGATTTCCATCAGCTGTAGGTACATCCAGTCTGGAGTTGGATTTTTCTATGGGGAGAATGAGCACGATTTGGCCATTCTGAGTGCAAGTCAGCCGCACAGTAGACCACACTAAGAATCCACAAATAGGAACACGTCACATATAGACAAGGATATACGCGCTGGGCTATCGTTCGTAGTGCTGGCTAAAAGAAGCAAAAATGGCAGGGAGTCCGTACTTAATTTCACAGCGATTGCTCTTTCCTCTCCAAGTGCATCCTCATTCTTTCTCACCTCTATCATCTGCATTTCCTAATATTGCCCTAAAATGGGTCAACCCAAGTGGCGCGCCTGTCTCAAATCACGATTCAGTAGAAGAAAAAGAAGCAAACACAAAGGTTTGCTTGGAAACGACACTTCCCAACCATCAGCATCAACTCCCCTCAAGAAATCAAACCAGTCCTTTGGCGAAGCAGGAAAGGAAGTGGAGAGCTCACAATCTGATCGCCATAGCTCCAAAGATGAACCGGGTGAAATCGAGTCCAAGGGACAGAGCGATCCTATCTTTACCGTTATTGATGAACAGGAAATACCAGATGTAGAAGACATCTGGGAAGAGGCCTACGGTCGCATACGCAGCAAGGGCTTGGAGAGACTTGTGATGGAATATGAGAAATTGGTCCGCTCAAAACTCCCGTCGGCTACAGTGGACTCTGACGCTGGCGACGTCGACAACAATCACATGCCTCTAACACGTCAAATTGCCGCTCTAGACGGGGAAAGTCGCCAGAAATTGATGATGGAATTGGTCAAGGAAAGCAGCGATAACGCAGCAGATATCAAAGCATTTGACACCTTCTCCAAAGTGTTCAACTCGACCAAAGACGGAATCTCGAGCGTGCTTGCTGTTTACCCACCTGCCTCTATTGCCTGGACGGGGGTATGTTTAGTATTAACTCCGGTAGGTCAATCTGGATCATGACATCGCTTCAAAGATGAGGACTGATAGAACGAAGCTTGTCAAATACAGTGATCAGATCAATGCGAATCATAATGGCCTCCTCTACATCATTGCGAAGCTTCCATGGTATGCTCACTTGGTTGAGCTTCTGAAATCTGAAATCTGGCAGTCTCCCCAGCAGTTCCGGCAGTCTAAGATCCCTCTCAGAGAGGCAATCATAGAGCTATACAGGCTCATTATTGAATTTCAACTCTTGACTCTGCGAGAATGCCATCACAAGTTCAGAACTCTCTCCAAGGCTTTTGTGGGGCTGGGCTCATCCTGGGAGGATAGACTGAAGAATATCCAGGAAGCTGAAAGCGAGGTGCAAAAGTACATGAAGATCGAATTTCGCACACAAGTATTGGACGTACTCAAAAACATCAGATCTACCTCAGTACAAATGCAGGATGGCTTGGCATCAGAACTCAACAGACAATTTGCAGTCAGGCAACAGTCGAAGCTTATCGCGAAGTTTAGGCTCGACCAAGCCCATCTCAATATCGATGCGTATCATGCCTACTACGAGGCTATCAGTCATCCTTTGCCTGGGACAACCGAAGGTTTCCGTGGCCATAGAGTCTATCAAGAATGGGAATCCGGATCGACTCATTCTCTGCTTGTGGTGGCCAACCCCGGTACTGGAAAATCGGTGCTGGCCAAATCTCTCCACGAAACGTTATCAAAACCAGGTGGACCTGCAGTTTGTTCATTCTTCTTCAAAGATCGTGGTGGTCAGCAAAATAACATAAATATTGCTCTTTGTCACATTATGTATCAATTATTTCAGAATCGTCCGGACTGGATTGTCCATGTGGCAGAAGATATTCTCAACAAAGACCCGGGCGACATACGATCGAATTTCCGTCTTCTATGGGGGCTTCTTCATAAACTGCTCCTGAAGGCTGAACCGAATAGTATCGTTATCCTTCTTGATGCCTTAGATGAATGTGAGCCTGGTTCAAGGGAGAAATTGTTTCAGCACTTGCATGGTTTCAATATCCCCGCTATGAAGCTCTTCTGCACTGCCCGTCCACTAAGTGACATTATTGACGACTTCGGCCCGGTGATGAATGTTATTCTGGACCTCGATCAGGATAAGCAATGTCAGGAGTTTCTTTCGAGGGATATCCAGTCTGTTGGGAGTCAACGTCTGGAGAAGTTCATCCAGAAACGGAAGATCGGAGATGAGTCCGTTTGTTTTCAACTTCGAGAAAAGCTCAGAAAACGCATTGAAGGGGATCGGACGTATCTATTCGTCAACTTGCTTTTCGATGTTCTGGATAAGAAGAAGCTGGGCATGACAAGCTCGGTGAGGGCTTGGATCAAAGATTTCGAGAATATCCCAGAATCGGTTTATGATGCCTACACTGAGCTACTGAACGCGATAGATGAAGAAGATCGTGACGCAGTGAGAGCTATGCTTGCGATTGTCCTGGCCGCGCAGAGGCCTTTAACTGTCGAGGAAATGGAAATAGCCTTAAAGGTTGGTATGGATGACAAGGCTTTTGAGAGTGGAGACGAGTTCAACCCACTTCTATTCAAAGCAGACATTTTGGAGCGATGTCACTTCTTACTGGTGACATATAATGACCGTATCTACTTCATTCATCAAACCGTTAAGGACTATCTTCTACCAGAACAGGAGGGCCAAGAGAACCCGAAGCAGGATAAAAGACCCGCCTGGCTACAATCGATCAGCACTGTGTCCTGCCATGAGACGATACTCAACAGTTGCATGCGTTATATCTCCGCCCTTTTTAATCAGCGACCGGAGATAAAGTCTGTTGGGGATTTCTTCCACCTTCCTCTCTATGACCAGCTCGAGCATCAACAATGGTATTGGGACACATTTCCGCTTGGGGAATATGCGTTTTGTCAGTGGCTTTTTCATCTGCACGAAATGAATACCAAAGAGGAAAGAAATCCTGAAACCCTTATCGAAGTGTTCCAAAGGCTTCAAGAAAAATATTATGGCCTATCCTTTGATGTCGCATTGTCCATGCTCTGTTGCTCTGGCTTTCCGTCTGAGGCAGAGGCGAGGCTTTTCCGGAGCATGGTGCAGTTAGGAAGTAGGGACATGACAGACGCTCTCAACAACATGTGCCAAGGCCTAGTCTTGAGATTTATTAAATTCGGTTCACATGCCGACCTTACTTGCGCAACAGAAATTGCCTCTGACGTGATCGAGCAGACGCCAGAAACAGACCCTAGGCTTGGTAGGATGCTTGTTAACCTAAGCCGGGCACTCGGCTTCAAGTATCGCTACAGTGAGCCTTTCGAAAGTGAGCCCTGGGATACTTGGTCGGAAGTTGTCGAAAGAGCGATGCAGGTGACACCATGCGGTAGCATTGACCGAGCTAGGGCATTGCATGAGCGCGCTGGCTTTGCTAACCTTGACGACACCGATCAGGCAGTTGAAGATACCGAGAACGCCCTGGCTCACACCCCCGATCTGAGCCAGGCAGACAAACAGCTCTTCTGTCATTCTTTGGCAATCTGGTTTGGGTACCGATTCGAAAGGGCGAAGCAGCCCCAAGAAGATGATTTACGCAGGGCTGTGGAATGTGCACAGGAGGCCATACATGGCATGTCAAAGAAGAATCCAAGATATTCCAATGCCCTTCACACATTGTCTTACTGGTTGATGACAGCTGCTTTGAAGTATCCCGACGAGCCAGGCTATTTACATCAGGCAATTGAGGTGGCTCAAGAGGCAAAGGAACTCCGGCTACCAACAGAATACCGGGGTAATATATGTCTCCGTGAGCTATCTAAATGTTTACTCGTTCGCTATGAGCGTGAATCCAAGTTAAAAGATCTCGAAGATGCTCGTGAGCTCATAGAGGAGGGCTTGCGAACAACTCCAGAGTCAACGACCTTGTATCGCGATTTCACTCGTCTCAGATGGTCACTGGAGGATCTTGAAGAGGAGCAAGAGAAATGGAAAGTATAGATATAGAGAGTGGCACCACAAATCTCACTTTGTGAATATTGTATCAGCCTTCAAATTCGGAGCAGCTGTTACGAAGGTGAATGGGGTCTTTATTCAATTTCTTTCTTTTTCCTAATTTTTTATTCTCAGACTTCTCATTCATTTTATACTAAGTCTCTACCCGAGCCCTTCAATCAGTCACAACCGCCCTATAACGCGACTGCTCAAGTGGATTAGTAGCCTGGTGGTTCTCCCACTTCTGATCTGCATAGCTCTGCTTACATGTGCCTATGACTTCGATTGGACTATTAGACGACGCGACATCCTCGTACATACATAGTAAATTGCTAATGATGAGCGCAAACGCATCTACTATGTACGTAATCACAGCCCACGACCAACTAGGTCAATAGAAAGGTAAATTCCCTTCGGGTAGTAGTGCGTTTAGATCTTTCATATCTCTACAGAAGTAATGATAATCTTCTTGTTTCTAGATGGATAGGAATACCCACCGACTAGTCAACCGTTTCCAAGTCTAGAATACTACCATTGATATGGAGTAGCACTAGGTGGAAAGTTGCCGTAGCTCCCTATAGGCTACAATATCTACCATCGTACATGCATAAGAGATATCGTCCATTGAAAAGAACATTGAACTGAAAAATTGTATTCGGACCCACTCACTAAGACGTTAAAGGTGCTGTCACTTCTCAATTCTCCGTTAGGCCAATGCTCAGTCCATCTCCCTTGATTATGGCTTCCCCACCTCCAGAACAGTAAACCCATATTGCTTCATCTTGTGTGCGTCGAATGACCCAGAAGGCCCTAGGAACAACCTTGGTTCCCTCATCCGAGCAACGATTTCCTTCCAATCCACACTGGTGCCTAGAAACTCATCCCAGTCGGTATGCAACACAATAATGCTGCAACCCTCACATGCCGCCTCTGTGCTCTCTACCACAGCGGTATTCACATGAGCGGCACCACACTGTAACATCAATGCCTTTTCAATACGTTGTCTTGGGACATGTGGATCAAAGATATTGACTCGTAATCCACGGGCGAGCAAGTCTCGAACGAGATTAATCGCGGTAGTATTTCGGATGTCTGTGGTGTTTTTCTTGAAAGAGAAACCAAGGACGGCTGCCTTCGTCTCTGTTCCTGTCACATCAGAGGGCAGAAATGACATTATTCGTTGCGTGATGCGTGCGGATTGAGAGTCATTGATTTGGATCACACCCCGCCAGTACTCAGCAACATCGTACAATCCAAGCTCACGGGCTAGATAGATCAAGCAGCAAACATCTTTGCGTAAGCAAGAACCACCAAATCCAAATCCGGCTCGCAGACACAACGGTCCGATTCGTGGATCCAGTCCAGCGATCCGAGAGAGCTCGGTGACACTTGCGCCAGTCGCCTCGCAGACAGCGCTCAGGGAGTTTATGCTGCTGATGCGCTGGGCAATAAGGGCATTGGAGGCAATCTTGGCTAGTTCGGATGACCATGTGTCGGTCGTGACAATCCGTTCCTTGGACACCCATGGAGTATACAAGCGTGTCAGGGTCTTCACTGTTTCAGGAATAGCGCCATCCGCTGCTGGTTCATAGCCAATGACCACCCGATTAGGGCTCAACAGATCTTGCATAGCGGTGCCTTGAGCTAGAAACTCTGGACTTGATACTATGTCAAATGAAGCCGTTGGGGGAGCGGTTTCTTTTAACTATAAAGATTGATTAGTCATTTATATCCTTAATGGCTACTCTAATACTTCTAAGGAGAGAAGTACACACCGTGCTTTTTATCCATCGACAAATGCCGCTAGGTGCAGTACTTTTCTGGACTATGACTTTGTGCCCCGTTGATAGCTGCGCAATTGAATTGATGGCAGACTCTATATTCTTCAAGTCAAGCCCTCTGATCTCATCACTACCAGGAAACTAGTCATTTAGAACCTCTAACGTGTTTCAAAATCTTTTATGGTGGAACTTACAGTAACTTCTGACGGGGTGTCAACGCAGATAAAAATCATATGAGCGTCAGAAATGTGCTTGCAAATATCAGCAGAGAAGGAGATGTTAGCAAGCCTTCTTATCCGCCGGCCTTGATGATTGTGCGGCAAATCACAGAGTGCTTTGTCATTGGTTTCGCCATCATCAAATAGAATATCTTCGAGGCCAGGCTCAAATATGGGAATGTGGTCTGAATTCCAAGCCGCAATTAGTGAGGCATTCTTGTCGACCACATTGAAATGCACAGAGGGGTTTTTGGAAGCCAAAGCTATTGCTGTCAATGCACCTGAAGCAAGAGAAATATGAGCAATTAGTATATATGCTCATCCATGGAGGTAGTAACTGCTGGTCCCGACTTACCCACGTAGCCCGCGCCAATCATACACACCTTCTGACAGTTGCCCTGTGGCCATTGGCTCGGCATATCTCCAAGACTGTTGGAACCCATTACGGTCTTTTGTAAGGCACTCCAGCGTTTATTTATAGTACGTGTTCTCTTGTTCTATGATCTGAATCATTGAGATGTTGACACAAGCAAAAGCACCTCCATGTGACCGTAAGAAGAATTTGAGATTACAACGGCCACTCGATGAGGATAAGGATAATAGAAAGCGAGGTAGGTATGCACGGCTGTAAAGAAACATCAAGGGATGGAGGCGAGAGGCCCTGCATCCCTATATTCTGTAGTATCTCAACGTGGCCATCGGTGGTTACTACGAATGCTTGCCTGCAGTTGAAACATCATATGCACTGTATGTCTTTCCAGAAATGTCTACGACAACCGATAAGCATGAGAAGTTACTCAATGACAGCTTCCTCCAGTCACCGGTAACTTTAATCTGCAACAGATAGGAGTATAATGGTGAGCCCTTTCTAGAAAAGTCTTTGCTGTGTGGCGTCCTATACGCGATACCCAGATCCTTATGTTTATTGAACATCCACATCTCGGCTGCAGAGATTAGAGGTTGCTGTGATAGACTGCCTTCCCTCCCCCACCTCCCTTTTTATGAGCCTTCCACGCTACCTTTCTTTGTATAGGGCGTAAGAAGAGCAGGCGATCGTCGAACTGAACCCATTTTGACCTGTAATCTATAAGCTACTATATCTGAGACCCTTCATAGGCAATTCTTTGGCAATGAACATTAGCTGATTTGATACCTCTCCCTTGTTGACTCACCGCTACTCTGTCAATGCATCGGCAGTCCTGATTAAGGCATGCATGAGATCACAGATCACAGAAAGAAGTGATTGGTCTTGTTCCTGGGAGTTGAGCTATCGTGTAGCATACTTGAGTTTAGGCTAACGCAAGGACCTGTCTCCTTGCATTGTCTACATGCTTAGCTTGTAGTCGCAGCGGATGACTTTTGTGTATCAGCGCGACCCGCTTTCCCTTGACGTTAAGCTCCACTGGTGTTTAATCATCCCCAACCTTTTTAGTTCCCTGATTTCCTCTGGTATCATCTTATGAAGGGTATTAGTCCATTAAGATATTCTATGCTGGTCCTCAGGCTGCATCAACTTTACTCTGTATTTGTTTCAGTAACTAATGCCGAGGTGAAATAGAGCTATTCCGAGTATAGAAAGGAGATGGCAGCTGTTCTTAAATTTGACATCCTACTATATCCTACTAGTATTTTGTCAGGATTGATATGGGATACTATATGATATAGGCATAGAGCAGTATTTGCTATGGGGGTTTTTGAATTCCTAATCCTCCAAAGTGCCCGCCTGGTGTTGGAATGAGTATAATTGTTGATGACACTTTCAACTTTCCTGGCAGCGCATGTATCATTGTTTCGCATCAATCAACGTCCCGGGAGCCCCATTGGTTCTATAGCATATTAATACTGGCGCCAGTCAATCCTTAGGCTAAAACTTACTGCATGAAGAGTTACCGTTGTATAGAAAGTAACAAAATAGTGCTGAAAGAAATCCTTCACGATCTGGGCCCCTAAATGCCTGAGATACCATCTGTGAGCCATTCCATATGCAATATGTTCAAGAAACACTGGTATGTAGAACCCGAGCAAAAACGTTATTCTTGATGGATTAGCGATGTCCAATCAGCAGCATCAGGGCCAGGTTCTTTACCTTGGGCGAAAGAGCCTTTCAATTAGAAGCCATGGGTCAGAGAAAATATACACCAGAAATGAGAGACGCCATGTTTGAATTATCATGGCGACAACGGTTTGAGCTGTGAGTAATGATAGCCATGGGTATCTGGTAGCTCAGTCAATATTGAACTTATGAACGTAAGACGGCATGGGATAACTGACTCTTTCCACATGCGTTTCGAGAAAATCCGCTTCGCACTCGAGATCTTCCCATTTCTTGCCCATCGTAGGGTCTGTTTGATATGCCGGCTGTCGCAGAGGGCCTCGCTATGGATCGTAGCTCCTGTCTGGATACGACCTTCCCAACCGTGATTCAACAGCCAGCGGGTAGCGAATTGGTCATCGCCGCAATGCATGCGATATCTCCCAAGCCAGTGCTCGTTTGTAAAAGCAGATAGATACTCTGGGTCTTTTAGGATACGGGCTCGATAAGCTGCAGTCCGTCCAGTAAGAACTGTTTGACTACCATCCAGCCAGCTGGAGGCTGCAATGTCGATATTGCGCATGCTCATGCGTCGAGACTCAAGAGCTTCCCACACCGTGATCGATTCTGGATCTCGAGCATCCAAGCCGTGTGCTGCTATCAGCGTTGTGACGCCACCAACTTTGGGCTCCAATTCCAAGACGCCAAGCACTTGTCGTAAAAGGTCCTTGCTCCAGTAAACGTCATCGTCCGCCAACACGATGATCTCCCCTGTGGCTACTTGTATACCGCGAGCGAGCTGGTTTCGTTTATTGGGTAACAGAATGTCGAGAACCTGAATTTTGCGCATTTGCTCCTTCGGAACGAATTTTTGGAGGACTTCTTTCAATTCTCCGATTAAAGCTGCTGTTGTGACAATGATAATCTCCTTGGGGTGGTTGTCCAGCATTGCGTGGAGCCGAGGTATGAGTTCTACGGGTGCGCCAATGGTGGGTATTATCACGCTGACACAATCCGATCGCATCTGAGGGTTCTCTGGTACGGGAATTGGTTTCATTCGCATGTATCCATAGAGACGTAGGACCCGTCTGACAAGATGCCAGCCCCTTGCCTGGTTAGCAGCAATAGCAATAGGGCGCGGTATATTCAGCGTACAGCATGAGCCAAAACGACAGAGACAGATCCATTATAGGGGGAATTTGAGAAGAAAAGCCGTGCTTGATCCGTAGTGAGTAGGTTGATGCATTCTGAGTGCTGGAAAGTTCAGTCAGTCTTTATTAGTACCTCATCCATGCATCCCTTCGCTCTCGCGCTGAAACAGCTGCCGGCCATCCTAGCGGGCAAACATATTGACGGTCGATGGTGGCGGTGAGATGTACGTCTGTTTTCTGCAGTCGCTTCCCTGCAGTGAGGCCAGAATCCATTCACTCGAGTCGTATAAATCATATTTCTTATCGATCTACCCTTGATTGTGGGTGAATTAGTTGGGGGTATTCCCAGGCCGATTCCTTGCCGTCCGCCGGCGACAGGTATTATGTACCTCAGACACTTCTATACCACTGATTTGCGTCCTTTCAGATACATCAAGGGCGAGTGCAGACCGCTCTTCTTTCACATACCGCACGTTCCTCCTAGCTTGACCGTCCCGCAAGTAATCTCGGTTTCGTCATAGAAATATCCTATCGGCTGGCGTTCGAAGTTTGTGCTGAGCTAGGGAACTGCCTGCCGACGGCTGTACAAGCCAGGTCGGTCAGTGTTTCGTGGACGACGCAGCCTCTTCACAACAACCGTCCCAGAAGGCGGTTGAATATTCCCATAGAAGCGACGAATGTCCGACTTAGTATTGCTCATTTATAAAGCATCAATCTCTCCGTACAAAAGGTTCATCTTTCAGAGTGTGCAGTGTTCAATATGTAGCTTACGTACTTTGTACGGCTGAATGGACGGGAAGCCTTACGTCCCGTGACCCTATGGTCATTGCTTTAGCATTCACATGCTGCAGTAAAACAAGTGGATGAACACACATAAGACGTATAGTACACGATACTGCATATCAAAGAATAGATACATCTAGTTACATGCAACAGCCAAATGAAGTTAAAGAGAGTCATCAGTCATTAATTCGTATCGTGTGCTTGGTACTTTCATTTTCACCTTCAACTTCTTTTCGACTCCTTAAGCACGGAGTCTCGGCGACGAGGACTCGCCATTTAGAAGTGTTCCTTCCAGAATTTGAACCGGATATCTCTCGTTGAGGTGGACATGGCCGCCTCTCGAATTTGCCTGGCCGCAGCATTGGGACCACAGAAGTAGACTCCAATTTCCGTAGTTGAATTTCCATGAACACCTGATAGATAGGTTTGGTCTTGTAGACCATCACGCATAGCAGTGAAAAGGCGTTTGAAGTCTGGACGGCCAAAGTTCGTCCTACTTCGCAGCTCTGTAAGTGGATCGACAGCCTGACCGACTGAATTGAGAAAGATATTAGCGGCTGTGTCGTCATCCAATCGTTGGGTGAGGTATGTATGGATGCGTAAGAACTCGGCCTTGCCACTGTACTCTGCTTCGGCCGCCGACTGGGATTCAAGAGAGGAAAGCAAGGCCTGGAACCATTCGAAGGACGAAGTGTCCCTACAGACCCAAATGAATTCGACGCGACAGAGACGGCCGGCTAATTTAGGGTCGGACCGTAAGTGCCAAATGTTCTTGAGGATAGATGCCCATGGTGTGACACCTATTCCCGTCCCGATGAGGACGGCCACCTCATTGTCGAAGACATCGTCGGCTGGAGCTCCGTATGGTCCATCAACCCGCAATCTAGGCATCTTTTGTCCGTTATGCAGGGCGACTTCATACATGCCCAGCGGGTCGAGTCCTTCCATATCTCTGGCCTGCGCTGGTCCGCATCCTAGTGCATCACCCAATGCACGAGTGAAATCACCAACTTGGCGAACGTGGATGCTTATGTATGGATCGAATGGGCAGGACGTAATTGTGAAGGGATGCCATTGGTTGCTGGATACATCAGGACACTGGATGAAGAGCCATTGGCCAGCCTTATACTTCATACTATCCTTGCGAAACTGAATCTCCATAGCATCTGGATATCGATGTTAGGATACAGAAGCTCATATCGGCCGGTGTCGAACCTACCATACGGATGACGAACCACCTTTAGAATAACAGTATGGCGTCGTGCTCGGATCTCACGGTACAGCCTTTCAAGCATGTACAATCCTCCGGCCACTAGTTCCCATCTCCAGCCTTCGTAGCCTAAGCAGTGGTTCCAGAATCTAGAACCAGCGAAAGGCGAGATAGGCTCTGTTGTGTCTCGCACGAAGCAGCCGGTTGCATGTGTATATAAGGCTAAAAGGAACGGTACGAAAAGATGGTGCGTATACCAGAACGTCTCAAAGGACTGTTGCCGAATGCGCTGATGGGACGTGGTGTACATCAGCATCATGCAAAGGAGCATGACATGTCCGGTAATTCCGCCAGCTTCTGTATAGTGGATTTGCACGGCTTTAACAGGCCGGATATGATCTTTTTCGATGTTGTAAAAGCTACTTTTGTTAGAACGGTAGCCTCGGCCTCGTATGGATTGGCTTACTTCACATAATGGGCCGCCGCATGGACTATGGTAAAGAACAGAAGGGCATAAGCTACCTGGCGATGAAACCATACCGTTTCATCCAGTGGTAGCCATCGTACCCTAGGTCTTATGGTTTTGACAAGGTTTCGGCACATGGGCAGCAGTAAGAGGGTGGCATCGCATGTCAACACCAGTCCAGCGCCCCGTGATATCCAAACGGAATACTGCAAAGTATTGAGCATATCCAGCCTCTGGTCCGAAGCCTGGACGTACCTAAAGATTCTCAGTACATATACAGGCAGTCATCTGGGATCTTCAGACTTACCATCCCACCGCAAAAATGACAAAATGCAGCGCCCAGAAGATGGAGTAGAACCAAACCTTTGACGCAGTAACGTATGAACCCCAAGCATGTTCCATTATGATATCCGGGCAGTATAAGCTTGTAGTGACTTTTTTAACCAGACTTGAACATTGACCAGCAATGACCCTTTTCAAAGGAGTGGATGTTTTGAGTGTGCTTTACTCCGGGTTTCTTTCGAAGGCGCCCGTACCATAAGTGAAAGGAGTGATTTGGCGGGCACTCTACTCTAGGAATCCATAAATAGAATCCTCCCTCGAAAGCTGGCGCTTCGCTCCAAGCATGCAGTAGGTTAAGCCTGCGCAGAGCGACAGCCAGCGTCCCCAGTAGATAAGGCGCTTTGGACGCTGAAAGGAGCCGTAGGCCACCTGAAATCCAGGGGACTCACAGAGATTACAGGCTTCCCCTTGGCTTATCGAAAATAATGGCTCATGAATAGGATTTCTCAGGTGCTAGAGTCAATGGCCAAAGGTTCAGGACGCGGTAAAAGCCGACGATCGCAAAAGGTCGGGACCAATGGAGGAACAAGGATCAGATCCGATTATATCATTCTTATTTTAAACGAGCCTAGGTCCTGAAGGGTAATTTCTGAGTAGGCTGGTGTGGGGTTGATGTCAGTTGAGAATCCTGTGTCAAGCGTCTGGTACCCGGAGATACGGTTTTGGTTGCAGAAAGGAGGGGAAGAACTGATGAGAGACACGAGGATCAGGATTTCTGCTTCTATATTTACCCCAACCCCTGCGCTGTGCGGACTTAATAGCGCCGCTAGGATAGCCTGCAGGGAGCGGATCGCCCGGTTGGACACCACTATCCCCGAACTTACCGTTTACAGGGCTCAAGCGAAAATAGGATGGAGAAAAGACCGTCAGGCATTAACCATCGCCTGATGCGCCAGATTTTTGGTGAAGAGAGCTCGAGTCTGACCGTCCTCCGTTAACTGGATAGATGATCCTTCCACTCGTATCTCAAGGCCACCACCTGGTGTGCGTCTCAATCACACAGCCTATTGAGTTTTCCGTTGCTGTGGACTCGTAAATTGTCGCGCTCGATTGGCGCACTTGGTAGTGACATGATAGGACGTAGCGAGTCAAGTCGCTTAAAGTCCGTCTTTCTCAACCTACTGCCAACTCCTCATCTCCCGGCATCCGCCACTAACCTTACCATGTGGCACCGGGATTGTGAGTTGCTATCAATGGCCCGTAAATCCATAGTTGACTCTTCTGTCTTTCTCCAGCTGCTCCGTTGATTCGTTCTGTGAAGTGTGGAGTCTCGGCCAATTCCAGCCTATGAGAAGCGTTATGCAGGCGCGTATCCCGTCACACGCGGTCAAAGCGGCCATCGACATGGGGAGCGCACCTCTGTGGCAGTCTGGACAGACAGGAGAATGACTCGAAATGCAGATTAAGGCAGAATCATCTCCGGAATTTGAATGGAAGACCCTGGCATTTCCTGAGGGCGAGTCCTTGGCGTGGGTTGAGCAGGGAAGTCAGGCGATATTGCTGGGGCATAAGTTTAAGTTCTTGGCCCTGCACGGTTGAGGTTCCCATCACATCTAGTGACGACCAGATTGGCACTCGGACCGTGTGGGTAGGAACAGTGCTAACAGTGCTATAATTATCTTGAGTGATAGTGGCCTGCGAAAAGACGGTGAGTTGTCTAGTAGCAGCCTTCCTTCCAGTATACGTCTCCCTGTGATCAAGAAATCCTTCGTTTATCTTGGGTTTTTATTTGCGCAGCACCTCTTCTAGTAGACGTATTCTTGAAATCGAAATAGTCGACGTGTCAGCGGGTATTTATGGCTGTGTAGCGGTTCCCTGTCGCATCAGTAGGCGCCCGTTGGAGATCACAACAAGGACGGGGGGAAAAGAAGAGACCGACTACCTGGGCACCAATTTCCCCGCTTCTCAAAGTCTTCACAAGATAGCCCGCCATCAAAGGAGCGCCATGGCTGGTCGGGTCAATCAGAGAGGACGGAACGTGGAACTGACAGAGATGCATCGGCCGCTAAAGTGTGTTGCCGCAAATCTCCTGCATCCTCCGCTCCACCGTCACGCCCCGTCAGGTCGCTAGTGCATCACACCCCGTTTGGCTGGTCAGCTTTTGGTTCTGAATGGCTGGCATCGTGTGCTAGGAAGCGCCCAAATGGGGCTTCCAGCATCCAAGCTCCCAGGATCATTCGCACTGTCACGCTACACCGAGCGCCCACATCCAATCATGAGTTGTTCTCGTGAAGTCAAGGGGGTCAGGATCGCTTCCAGCAGGGCATTGTAGCTGATTGGACTTGAAAATAGAGCGGTTGATAAAACGCATCCACGTATCACAGGCGTTCAGAGGGGGAAGCGGGGAGGACGGCGACTCCGTTGCGTCGGCCTATCGTGAAGAAGATGCAAATCAGGTGGTCTCATCCGTTGGCGCCGGAAGCTATGTATTCCTGCTCTTTTCCCCCCTCCATGGCCACCATCACTACCTGGTCTGTCAGTTGAAGTTTGCTCTGTCATGCAGTACATGATTGTTTTAACCCACACTATGTCCTTCTTGCATTAAGTTTATGTGGTGATGTGATTGTTGTGATTTAAAGCTTATCCGTCCTACACACTATTTCTCCTCACCAGCAAACTGCCGGGGAAGACTTTACCAACCTTGACTGACGTCCCATTACTCCACCTGCCATGTCATTCGTGACGAGCATAGCACACACGGCATTGATTGATCGGGTGGATGGTTAAGGGCTAACCAACGGTCGAAAAAGCAATCCTTGTGTTTATGAGACAACAGCATTGTGTCTATACTTGAGTAACTAGCTCTTTCGCCGGACGGAAGACGCTTGAACTCCCCGCTATACTCCAGAGTCTGCCTACCATGGGAAGGCTCATCAAAAATCACTGGGCGCGACTTATTATTCTCACAGCCTCAGCTTGTATGTACAAGTCCCTTTTCATCCACTTCATCTTTCAACGCTAATCTGCGTGACTGGATCTATAGACCAAATCGGCGGTGCGATCGAAGGCTTCATCTGGCCGAAGGTGTTCTGGGATTTTATGACGGACAATTTGAATGGCGCTGTGAACCCGGTCCCTGTGCTTCAAATTCTCAACCTCCTTTTGGGCCTACTTGGCCTTGCATGGGAATGGCCTTTGAAATATGTTGCCGGCTCCCTCGCGCACCGCAGCATCGAATTCCGATTGATCTTCTATCCCCTCAGCGCTCTACTCTCCATGCTCCTCTACCAGGGCACAGACCCTGCTCTGTACTACCTTATTGGAATCGGGGTGTATTTCTGGGCCTACAGCGAGGGCGAGGTATGTATTATGCGACCGACTTGATCAATGTCATGGCTAATCGACAATAGGTCGTTTGCCCTATCCCATGGACACTCCCGAAGCGAAGCGAATACAAGGTATAGCATGACTTGTACCAACACGACACCTTACACTTAACGACCACGATATGATATGATTTTATGAAACGATACCCAGCGGTGCTAGTATATCGGTAATATGTGTTTCTTGGAGTTGGGACAGATAAAAGGTCCTTTTTTCCAGTCAGTGATGACTGTCCAGCTATTGACCTGGATTGTGTGGCAGTTATTCAAATATGGACTCTGGTACCTGGATTGCCAGAGTGCATGTATCTGTCTGTATTATAGTTCGTTTCTACATGGAATCGGAAAATTATATATCGTACAGAATGTCTTGAACATATGATCCGTAGTCGACAAAAGATACCCCCACGACATGCCCAATTGAGTCATGTGTTAAGTAATGCTTTACACTGTGGAACAACAATGTACCATTGGTACTTATGCCCAACTTGGCATATCTCCAGTACATTTTTGATGCCTGGTTGCCACTTTACTGAGGCAAAAGTATCCACGTGATCCCGCGTCCAACAAAACCCAAAACGGTTAAGCGTCTGGAGCGCTCCAGACCGAGGAACAAGAGATGAGGCAAATCACCAGCAACCAAGGAAAAGCTTTTAGCGATCCCCTGAAATAATGCCTATATAAATCTATCAACATCACTAACCGGTCGAATATCTGCAGCATCACTGTCACTAACACAGACAGCTTTCTCAGCACCAGTCCTACAGCCAGCCAGCCAGCCAGCAAACAGCATGCCCCTAGTCGAAGATAGTCCTCGCGAGGACATCGATGCGATCCAAATACCCTCTACAACCCCCAGTCACGACAATGAAGCTCATAATGAAGAACACTACGACGATAACGACGTCCCCGTCAACAGAAAAACCAGCTTTGGTGGTCGTCTCAATCAATACTTCCACACAGCAAAACCCACATCGTCAGCGCCACCAGCACTACCATCCACGAAACAAACCACTACCAGCACTTCCTCTCCTCTTAAACGCAAACGAACCACACCACCAACAGCAATCACAGCACGAATAACCCGCTCGCGCTCCCGCTCCTCCACTTCAACCCCAACCAGCACCACCACGACTACCTCCTCCCCACGCCCACGCAAAACCCCTACGCCCACACCACCCACCTCCTCAGCAGCAGACTCCCTCCTCGTCGACACCATCCCACCAAACCTAACCCTCCTCCTTGTAGGCGTAAACCCGGGGATCCTAACGGGCGTAACAGGCTACGCCTACGCACACCCAAGCAACCTCTTCTGGAAGCTCCTGCACTGGTCCGGGATCACACCCATCCGCCACCCACCCTCCGATACATACAAACTCCCCGAACTATATAACATCGGCAACACGAATATTGTGGAGCGCCCGACGCGGGACGCGAGTATGCTCAGCAAGAAGGAAATGGATGCAGGAGTACCGGTTCTGGAAGAGAAGGTGAGGGAGAAAAGACCGGAAGTGGTGTGTCTTGTGGGCAAGAGTATCTGGGAGGCGGTTTGGAGGGTTAAGGTTGGACGGGGGATTAGGAAGGAGGAGTTTAGGTATGGGTGGCAGGATTTGGAGATGAATATGGGGAGGGTAGGTGGTGAAGGCGGGTGGGAGGGGGCCAGGGTGTTTGTGGCTACGACTACTAGTGGGTTGGCGGCGGGGATGTCGTTGCAGGAGAAGAGGGACGTTTGGGATGAGTTGGGGAGGTGGGTTTGTGAGAGAAGGAAAGTATGGGAGAGGGAAAGGGAGAAGGTGGAAGTTGGTGGTGATGATACGAAAGTAGAATAGATATAGAAGTTTTCCGCTACGATAATAGATTATAGATTTAACCATATACGTTTCATTTATTTCATTTATCAATTACCCTCTTTTCCTAGGGAGATAGCTAGGAAAGGTAAAGTTACACTGCATCATGTTCATCCGCTAGTAAAAGCATAATCATGTGCTCGATCAGTCGATATCATGCTACTATCGATCCTTGCCCCTCTGCACATCACGCCACCCATCAAGGGATCAAGGGGGGAAAAGGCCAGCCAGCCAGCCAGCAAGGGCGTAATAACATGCACGAATCTATCGGAAAGCAGGTCCATTACGGAAGTTGGTATCACCTTGTTGTTCGCGAGCCTAGTATCACAGATCAGTCAGCATGATTCCTCATGAAGGGTCAAGGGAAGCAAAGCAAAGCAACATACAATAGTAGACTGGTACTCGCCGCGCTCCAAGATCTGGGTTATAACGTCGTCTTCATTGGCAGTTCCGAATTCATTCTCAAGACTAGCCTTGCTAGCTCCGTCAAGGACGCCTTGGGCTCCATGCCTAGAAGTGATTGCTGGTTAGTTCTGCTTTCACTGCTGAGGGCATAAAGACAAGGACTTACTTGTGAGTAACAAAGATCTTCCAGCCGTTGAGAACATCCGCCAGAGGGACTGAGCGGTCACCACGCCATCTGTTCAGGGCGTCGTGGTCATCGACGAAGACGATGAAGTCGTCGGATGCTCCCTTGTAGAACATCTTGGAGGTGGGGTCGTTGTGGCGAGGCATCTTGGTAGTATGTAGTGGTTTGTAGTTGTTTTGAGACAAAGGTGGAAGAACGATCTAGTTTCTTTCAATGAAGCTGCTAGAGACGATGATCTGTCGAATGACTAGGAGGATGGAGAAGAGGGAAAGTTGAGATGAAGTGAGTTGAAGAGTGTCGTGTGAGGTGAGGGCAGATGACGTCACCACGATGCTAACGGAAGACAAAGGCGGGCAAACAGTGGCAGGAAGAGCAATTGAAGTGAGGAAAGTTGTGCAAAGGGTATTTCAATAGCTAGTAGAGAGTTCGTTTGATAATTGAGTTGATGGGATTTAATTTGATTCCTCCTTCTCTCGAATAACACAGGCCTTTAAATACATCGAGGCGGGTGTAATGATGCCCTGGTCGCGGCGGGAGCACCGACGTCATCATCGACTGATGCTGCGGATGCTCTGCAGTCGCTCTTGCGCTTCTGGTTCACCCGGTGGAGAAACATGGCTCCCTATGGAATTCAATTCCCTCATCGGCATCATCATCATTCCAGTCACTGACATTTCGGACATTCTGGCTCGCTAATGCTACTAATTCCGTCTCGCTTCGCCCCGGTCAATCTCTCCTCCCCCACTCGCCTCAGAAACGACACGAATCGCTAAGAACCCCATACATATTCCACACACTTGTACCTGGCCATCTGATGCAATACTGCAGAGAATCTCACACAACTTGCATCATCACCTCCATCACACTCCACTTCCAAGCCCCATGCGACCCTGTCTTTTCGTTCGTCGGGAGGACATCGAATTGAACATTCTCCGGATAGCAGATGCCTTCAAGGAACAGCCGTCGGGAGTCTCCGTTCCTTTGTTGCCATTACTGGTCGGAATGATCTCAGCCTTGAACGCCGCTTTCGGTCCCCCTTTCCCTTTCCATGTCTTGGACCTTCTAATGCTTTCCTTGCTATGTCGCGGCAAGATGGGTCCCTTGTCTGTCTCCGGAGTTGTTGGCTTGCCTCTAGATACATTTCGTAAACTCTTCTCCTGACTCTTTGCAAGCTTCCTAGGGTCTTTTATCTCATCTGAACATGCCACTTCTGTAGTAGACTTAAGAGGATGTCCTCCGGTGCTGAGGCTCACACAGCTGGAGCGTCGGTACAATCCCGGCCGGCGGCTCAGGTGTCTCATAAGGGACCCAGGACTATGAAAAATGTCCCCCTTGCCCAGAGCCATTCCAGGGTATGGAAGAGCGTCCCGCGTGTAGAAAGAAGAAATGGCACGTTCTAGCAGTATCCGATCTTGTCTCCTGGCGGTCAGTATAAGCGCTGGACACAAGGAAGACATCTTTGGCCGCTCGATTTCCCCGTCCACAGATTCCGTCATCTGGAGTTTTTGTGGGCAATGCGTCTTTTTGATTATGATGTTCTGTGAATCTGGTAGAGTCCGCGACGTAGCCAGTGCCTGCATAGATGGCCGGCGAGGTAAGAGAGGCAGGGGACCGTTGCCGCAATTCAATGGGGCCAACTCCAGAGACAGGAATGAGTATTCTTTCAGCTTCGCCACTACTGACTTCGGTATGTCAGTTAATACGGCCGCAGACTTGAGCATCTCAGTTTCCCATTTTTTTTCTTCACGTGCTGACGAAGCACTGAGCACCAATTCATAGTTCTTTCCCAGAGACTGGAAAACCAGTTTCCAAGAGAACAAACAGCCATAGCAACGAAGACCTATCGCAGAGTTTAGCATACAAGGCGACCGACATAGGCAGCTTCCTCACCTTCTCCGTTTCTGATTGAATCGATCTTCATGTCAGAAATATACAGGCATGCTAATGCCTGAAGCCTTCGGTAGTCATTGCTTGGTTTGGCAATCACGAAATGATAGGTGAATAGAATGCAGACCATGTATCCTCCCGTAATATACTCAGGTGTCTGGTATGTGATGTGAAGGACCCCACAGAGGCTCAAAGGACCCAGTTGCTTGTAGATGTTATCAATCGTGTTCTATGAATTCAAATCACCTCAATTTTCATATCCTGTAGGGAGACGTGGTATACTTACCGATGCTGATAGGTCCATGAAGCTCTGTAGCAAAAACGTCTGCTTCACTAGTGCCTTGCTAACAGGGTTGTCGGTAATTTGATTTACTTCGCACACCACCGCGCGGACTTGTTCGAGGACCTGTCGGATGCCGTCATGGGCAGATGGGTCGTCTTGGATATGTGTCCATCGTAACAATTCCTCAAGCAGCAAAGGGTATTTGCACAGACGCTGAACTGGCTGTTAAATCGTCAGTATCCAGAATCATAACCAAGGGACGTGTATCCCGACCTTGATCAGAAGGTCATTCAAAGACATAGCTTTATTTTCCTCTTGTGTCTGCCGTTCCAACGATGTTACCGATTTTGATAGAGCTTCAATACCCTGGTCGAATATACGCCAATCCGGTACAGACTGGCGGAGAAAGTTAACGTCCACTGTGAGCAAGCCATAATTTTTACAGAATAATTTGTATGCTGTGAAAGACGCCGACTACCCATGTCAAGTTAGTAGCCGACAAATTGATAGAGCTTATGGAGAATCTGACCAAACGTCCGACTTCTAGCGCAACCTGCAAAGCTTCTTTTGTCTCCGCAGCCAAGGCTTTGAGACGGGAATCCATAGAAGCCCTAAAGCTGCGTGATCGCAGAGATTTAGCATGCAAAGTCCTCAAACCAAAGTCAATTGCACTCAAACGCTTGTGAATCCCCCGAGGCATCAGACTGTCGAACTCAGCCGCTGCCAAATTCGATATCGGTGTTAGCTTTCGAATCTGAGCAAGGAAGTTCTCATGCGTGTCTCGGATCTGTTGAACATTGTGGTAAAACTCTGGTCTGGCAGAGAATATGAAAAGGGCCTATGATCAGAGGACATGTTAGCTATCTGCGATGAGCAGCACGTGGCTATGCTTCAGTTGGAGAAGAATCATACATCAGCAAGTGCTTTCAAGCCGAATATATAGTCACATTCGGTGGTGATCAGTTCTCGGAGAACACGTCGCCTCTTAATGGCCCTGTGTTGAGCTTCCTCATCTATTGAGGAATTCAACGCGGGTCTGATGCTGTCTAGCGATTCACGAGCATCGGACCTTATACTTTGATTTGTTGTGCTCTGTGTAGTTCCCCTCGACCGTACCACACTTTGGCTAGTAATGCTCAGAGTAGCCGTCTTGACGGTTCCAAGATTGGACGAACGGGGAGACAACGACTCCCATTGTTTTTCCTGGTACTCATTCGAGGGTAGCAAGTCCGGTAGAAGGTCTCGGTCATCTGGCTTGACTTCCATTGGCCAACCCTCGACGTATCTTTCGGGTGGGGGACAGCATCTTCGGGATCGGAAGCTATTCATCCAACGCTTGAATGCAGCCACAGGGTCCACTGGCATAGGATGCGTTGCAGTTATCTCCACCTCATATTCGGGCTTCTCTAGGATCAGCAAGGGAGGATCGCCCATATCCTTGGATTCTTCCATGGTGCAGACTGTGTGGAGAAGTGAGCAAACTTCAAGTGACGATGTCAGCTTAGGAGCAGGTCATGCTTTAAGATAGAAAGCACAATAGGGCCCTTGTGTCAAGAGTAGTTATGCTGGCTAACAAGTGGAAGCAACGACTGGCACAATCCATCACATGGGGAAAGCATGGTATACTTGCTGTCACCGAGGGAGCTCACGTGTTGGAAACAAAATGGTCCAGTGTGAACGAAAGCAATTCGTATGAAACCCATCACAGTGAGTTAAACAAACTTACGGTAATGTTCTGAGTAAAGTTGCCTATACATCACGCACCGCTCGGTTGAGGATCAAATTGCAATGTGTTTTGTCCTACCACACAGTAACGGCTTTTCGTTGCTCCCATCGATGAAATGACAGACATCAGCATCATCTGTGCACCCTTAGCAGTACTTTGCATGTAGAAAGGGTCAAGGCGCGAATTAGTGATGTGGATAGTTCACAGCTTGGTAGATGTTGTTCATGCTACTTTTGAGGCTTCTAGATATCAGTTTGCGGCAGCATAGTAGTAGCAGATAGCAGTTTGGCTTAGCATTTTCAAGCAAATATGTAGCTGTAACAGATACCTGCCAGCATTTTATGGCAACTTATTTACAATAACGTAGTACCAACTGTAATAAATGGGGAGAAATGGATGATGGTGTTGCGCATTTCTCTTCATAGCGCGCGATGCCAAGAAGGTGAAACTCCCCCAGATTTCCCACCGAAAGACCCACCGCCGTTTTCCGGGATCGGTCTGCGACAGCTCTCGCCGCTCCCGATCCTTCATCTTTCATCCAACCAACGATGTTCTAAACCACCTCTCACTCATTCTAGTATGGGAATACCCATGGGTTCCAACATTCATGCTCCAACAGTAGCCTCCGGCCCTACGTCCGGAGGGGCTCCTCCTCGCGATCTGTCCAAGCTCGGCATGGTCGATCTCATGCAAGAAAAGGAACGCATCGAAGAAGAACTCTCGGCTCTGAGTAGCGTCCTTGGCTCGGTGAGTTGAATGGATATTGGATAAGCCTTGCCACTCTGTGAGATGTCGACTGACGATGCTTTCTGTCTAGCATGGCGTTAATATGAACACATCTCTCACTACTTTCGATGGCTTCCCACGAGACGATATCGATGTTGCCCAAAGTGAGTCACTACTTTTTGCCTCCGCAGTGCGTCTGCTAAACAGTAGTTAGTACGCACCACTCGAGCCCGGATTATTCGACTGCGAAACGATCATAAAGACGTGATGTCACATCTGGAGAAAGGAATCCACAACCACTTTGCCAATCTGCAGCGGGCGCAAACTGCCGCACAGTCGGGTGGCGGTTTGAATGGTACATCGGGGTCGCAACCTAGTGTGACTGGGAATAATACCTCCGGCACTGGGGCATCTGGGTTACCGTTCGCAAAGGTCAATAGTGTGGTGCCTGGAAGTCCCGCAGACCAGGCAGGTCTAAGGGTTGGAGATACCGTTCGGGAGTTCGGGAGTGCCAACTGGCTCAACCATGAACGTCTCTCCAGGGTGGCGGAGATAGTGCAGCAAAGTGAAGGGGTAAGTAGGCGATTTGCTTCCAATCTCTTAGTCCTCTAGTCCAGGGACATGCACTCGGGAGAATGCTCTAGGCTAACGTCTTCTAGCGCACTGTGGCGGTCAAAGTCGTGAGGAAAGATCCGAGTTCTTCCAGCAGCATCGACTTGTCCCTGCAGCTTGTCCCTCGCCGTGATTGGGGCGGTCGGGGCCTGTTGGGCTGTCATCTCGTGCCGCTGTAGTGGACTGGCATCAGGTTAGGCACGAGGATGACGGCCGTTTACTGTACTCTGGGATAGTCCCTAGAATACTAGGACTTAGCCGGGTACGATCTACTTTCGTTTATGATTTCTCCCTTTTGCTTGCTATTGGACTTTATGAGGAATGTGACATGTATTCATGATCGAACGCGACGTGTTTATTCTTGCAGGGAAATACCTAGGGAAGCATTCAGGGTGGCGTTTCAGTTTAGGTTCAAGAGATAAAATTGCACCTGTTTATATGGACATTGTCTATCAGTTCCGTACAGCGTAGAGCGTTCACTCGCGAAGAACCGCGTGGATCGACTGCAAGGCATGCAATAAATGCAGTTTGCGCGACCCTGCGGGGCACGTGGCTGCCTGAGGCCCAAACACATCACGTGACCATCAGGCTTGGGCGACCGACTCACGGCAAAAATTCCATCACCGGTAGAAATAACCTTCCCACTCTAACTCCTCCCTGTCCAACCCCCCTCGTTCTATCGAACTCCCCTCGGTCGCTTTGTCCATCGAGTGTCGCATCCCACTGTCGACTTTTTCATTTCCGTCGACTTCTATCGCAAACTCTTTTTCGCTTCTCTTCATCTCCATCCCCCCACATCACATCCAACCTTCATCATGGCTACTGAGGTACCGACCTTCAAGCTTGTCCTCGTCGGTGACGGTGGTACTGGAAAGGCAAGTTAAACCAAGATATTTTATCCTATATGGCTTACTGGGTGGAGGTGGCATGTCGCCTCTTCGACGCCTCTTCATGCTCGACTGCATTCCTGTCATGCGTGTTTACCCCTCTCTGTTGCCCCCCGTCTCTATCAACAGAAAACTTCATCGCCCGCCCAACCTCACCCAGACGAGACATCATTACTGACTGAGAATACTCGCTGCAGACCACCTTCGTCAAGCGCCACTTGACTGGCGAGTTCGAGAAGAAGTACATCGCCACTCTCGGTGTCGAAGTGCACCCTCTCGGTTTTAACACCGTATGCCCCGCCGGAAACCCCGCTTTGTCCATTCCGTCGTCTTTGTGCCGGTCCGACTAACGCTTTTGCCAGAACCTGGGTACCATCCAGTTCGACGTCTGGGACACTGCTGGTCAGGAGAAGTTCGGTGGTCTTCGCGATGGTTACTACATCAACGGACAGTGCGGTATCATCATGTTCGATGTTACCTCCCGTATCACCTACAAGAACGTCCCCAACTGGCACCGTAAGTGCTTCCACAAATCAGCACTCGAACCACGCGCAATCTGGATCAAATTGACAAATTCACTCTAGGTGATCTCGTCCGTGTCTGCGAGGGTATCCCCATCGTGCTGTGCGGTAACAAGGTCGATGTTAAGGAGCGTAAGGTGAAGGCCAAGACCATCACCTTCCACCGCAAGAAGAACCTCCAGTACTACGACATCTCCGCCAAGTCCAACTACAACTTCGAGAAGCCCTTCCTCTGGCTCGCTCGCAAGTTGGTCGGCAACCCCCAGCTGGTAAGTCAGACACGGTCATTGGTCGCTTTCACTGGTGAGACTGGAAGCTAACAAGCATTTCTCAGGAATTCGTTGCTGCCCCCGCTCTTGCTCCCCCCGAGGTCCAAGTCAACCCGGAGCTTCTGGCCCAGTACGAGAAGGAGATGGACGCTGCTGCCAACATGCCCCTGCCCGACGAGGAGGACGCCGATTTGTAAACGCGCGATCAATGAAGGCTGGAACCAGAGCCTGGGTCACGAGCTCGGGCTCGTGGCTGCTGTTCTGTCCCAATAACTGGGTACGTTATGCAAGATTTCAAATCACGATACAATGATAGCGGAGGGAGGAAATTAAGCCCGAGAACGGTCGGCATGATTATGCATTTGCAATATTTACCACTAGTAGTCTAGACTCTGATTATCTCTACAAAGTTCCTTTTTGAAAACGGTGACACTGTTTATCCGTCCATCGGCTATATCTGTTGGACAAAAAAGTTTACATACTCTCTATTCTCTTCGTTCTCTGCTGTAAACTTCCAAAATCATATCTTAGTAGACACCGATCTACAGAACACCCCAGTGTGTTTACCCCCATCCCCAACTCCCCCTTACCGAGACAGATAGCCAGTAGGCCCTCACAACGAAACCGAATTCCACTCCCAACAAACTCAATCGCACCGTCACAGCCCCCAGCAACCAACCTAGTATAGAAATTCTCCACCATACCAACTATCTACACTCTGGTTTGGTATCAATGACTTCTACCCCTGCGTGTTACTCATCACACAATGTACAGTACGATATACTAGTATAGTCCAATATGCATAATTTGCCGATCCATCGAAAGAAAAAGAAAAGTGTGGACTTCCTTCCCCCCACCCAAGAACACAGTGACGTCACCGGTGTGACTGATCAGGCTGACAAGTTTGTTGTTGTTGTTGGGTTGAGATTGGGTGTCTGACATCCTTGCTTATACTACTAACTAAATATTATTGATACTTGCTATCATTTCCTTGTAGTATCTGTGGTTTGGGGGATGGTTGTTGGTTTTAGGTTGAGTGTTTGTGGTAGTAGTGTATACAACTTATATGTTAGTGGATGCGATGTCTTATTGAAAATGAGATGGTCATGGTCGATTGAGCAATTTTGTATTCATTTTTTTTTTCTATTCAAGTAGCAGGTAGATAACGTATTAGGTAGGGGTATTGGGCGGTGGGATGTGGGTGTAGATAAACAGTTTCGGGAGTCTGATTCCGAGTCATCATGTGAGACACAAACATTCTTCCTTCTTTCTACAGTAGGCTAAGCAAAAGTTCATTCTAGACATGACATGGTAGTGCAGAAACTTGTTGAGTGATCGGAACACATATTGTTGGGAGCAAGTGGAACAAGTGGAAACATATAGGGGAGAGCAAATAACGATAATAGTAGGTAGAGAAGAGTGAAGTCGAGAAAGGGGTCTAGGGTATCTTGTCGTGCTGGGAATCCGCAAACGCCATGTGAATATCAGATCAAAGTAAAAGAGATGATTAAGAGCGGATGTTCTGGGAACAGATCGGTTAGTAAATACGTAAAAGCAATATATGAGTTGGGCGTCGGTGGACTTACAAACAGAAATGCGAGTTCGCGGGCTCCGAGTCTGGAGAGATTGCTTGATGCCTTCTCGTCCAGAGCACCCTCAACAAGCTCCCGCTTCTTATCCTGCAATTCAAGGATACGGTCTTCGACGGTATCCTTCACGACAATGCGGTGGATCTGAACAGGGCGAACTTGTCCAATGCGATGGGCACGGTCGACTGCCTGCTCCTCAACATAGGGGTTCCAGAAGGGGTCGAAAATGATGACCTGGGAGGCTGCGACAAGGTTCAGGCCTGCGTTGCCGGCTTTTAGCGACACCAACATAATTCTGCAGTCTTCATTGTCGGTAAAGTCCATCACGGACGTGTTTCGATCTGCTGGACGCATGCTCCCGTCGTAGCGTCGGTAGTCCCATCCTTGACGAGCGATCGGAATCTCCAGCAAGTCGAGTAGAGACGTGAACTGGCTGAAGATGATGGTTTTCTCGTTGCCTTCTCGGTGGTAGACATCGCGCAAGATCTCCATGGCCTTTTCGATTTTGGCACTTGACATCCAGGTCTTTTCGAGGCGACGCAGGTACTTGAGCTTCGACTTCTTATTCTTCTGAGCATCCTTCTTAAGTTCCGCAAGGGACTTCTTGTTCTTGGCTTTGCCCTTGCCCTTCGCTCGCTTGCTCCTCGTAGAGGGACCTTCTTCCTCATCGTCGTCCTTGACAATGAACCGAGACAAACCTCCAGCGTCGTCGCTATCATCATCGCTGTCGTCATCGCTATCCTCGTCATTGGCGTCTTCCGTAGCTTCTGTAGAATCAATCCCATCTGCCTCGTCGGATGGGTCAGGAAAATGCACTTTCTTGAACGACTGATGATCGGTGATTTTCTTTGGATTCACCTTCGCACGACAATTGGGACATTTCACTTCGCCTCCGTCGTCGCGCCCGCTCCGTAGGGCCATTTCTGGGTCTGATATTCTCGAAAAGCACTCCGCGCAGGTTCCGTGGCCGCAAGGGAAGAAGATGACGGGATTTTCGACAGCATCTATACAAATCGGGCATTCTAGCTCGGTGTTGTCCTTAAGCCGAGCAACAACTTCAGCGCTAAATGCTTTCGCATTGGCGATGAGATCCATGCCCTCTTCGGCAGCATTAACTTCGGTGGTGAAGTCTTTGATCAGATGAGGGTGACAGCACGCCTGTCGAAGTCGAAGGAGTAAAACCAGAATATTGGAATAGTTGCGCCCAACTCCTTGTTGGAGATACCGGTTGACCTCATTTTGACTGCGTGCCTCCAAAGCATTGTAAAACTCTTGCTCCTCCTCGCTGAAAACAGCATGGACTCTTTCGGAGACCTTGGGCGGTAGTTGCAAAATCGGTTTACCGTCAATTTCCGAGCTCTTAGTTCGCCGCAGAAGAATGGCCTTCAACAAGACCTGTAACTGGAGCATAGCCTTCTCACGCATAGCGGGACTAGATTTCAGTGGCCGGGTGAAGTCCTAGGATTCGGGGTCAGCCATCCTTCCGTTGATATACATAATAGGGTCAGGGTATACTCACGCGATTGAATGTCTCAATATTACAGTATGGGCGAATGCGCAGAAATTTGATCAGCGAGTGTAACTCTTCGACATTGTTCATCATAGGAGTCCCTGTCATGCACCAGCGGTAGGTGGTATTGAGCTGGCAGCACGCAAGCGCAGCTTTTGCATTCCGGTTCTTGATGCACTGAGCTTCATCCGCAATGACACGATACCATTTACAACGCCGCCCCAGAAGAGGGAGACTGTCTAAGGCTTTCCTTGCCAGGTTAACATCCCGTTCCTCTAGCTCCTCGTACTTCTGCTTCCGTTTCAATTCTGCGGCCAGTGTGCCGAAGGTGGTCAGAACCACGTCGTACCGCTTCAGTTCCCTGAAAGTTGTGAGCCGTTTATCGCCATGCAATACCCAAATGGAAAGTTGGTGCTTTCCAGGCCTAACCATCCTTTCAATCTCTCGTTTCCATTGTTGCACCAACGCAACGGGAGCAATGATTAGGGTCGGCTTGCGCTCGGGATCAGTCGATGGGCGGGACACTATGAGAGCAATAGCTTGTATGGTCTTTCCCAGACCCATATCATCCGCAAGGATACCGCCCTTATTGTCGCCCTCTTCCATAGACTTCATCCAAGACAACCCCAACTTCTGGTGCTCCAGCAGCGTGTACTTGAGTGCTTCGGGGGTTCCTTCGCGGTTCTGTAGGGCAATCTCGGAGTCGGGTCTGATGCTTTCCAGCAGCTTTTGAATATCTTCTTTCGTCTTGTTTGGGTCGGGCCCATAGATTTCAGAACCATAGTAATCACTAGAAATGTCAGTTGTGACCTCATCAATTAGCACTTCATGGGGGGCCGTCAAGCTACTCACTCTAGATAATCTCTGGCCTTGCCAAATCCACCAGGGCCCTGGTAATCTTCTAAGTCAATGTAGGGAATGTTTGAAGACCTGGAGTCATTGCCGCCGAAAATCATCCTTCCGGCTTGCTCCAACATCTCCCTGCCTGCGTTGAGTCTTGCCATTGTGTTTGACATGACATGGGGACCAAACACAGATCCAGATCCTATTCCAGCTGGCGGCCCAGGTGACACGTAGAGACCACGACTCTGCTGGGGTTGAAGACCGGGTCTGTTAGGCATCGTAGGGGCAGAAGAGCCCCAACGCGGGGGACGCTCATGTGGAGCGGCTGAGATGTGGCAATGGCGTTGGAAGTCGGATGGTGTGATCTCAGCAAGGTCGCTATCATCGCTACCAAGCAAGGGCTGGGAATCTTGGGTTCCATTGACGGGGGAACGATTGTAGCCACGAAGGTGAGAGTGCAGAGATTCCGATGGTTTTGATCGCGCCAGAGATTCGGGGAAACGGTCAGTGTCCGTCATAGAAGGTCTGTTAGACGCAAAAGCAGGACCGGAAGCGGAAACAGAAGGTCTTAAAGGGAATATGCTTTGCGAAGACGACGGCGACTCAGACGGCTCATAGAAGGAGTCATTAAGTCGGCGAGCAAATTCCGCGTCACGGCGCTCCTGTTCCCGGCGTTCCTCAAGCCATTTCTCGGCCCTTCTTTGCTCTTCTTGGATCTCGCGCATGATATCGGCGCTGTCGATGCCCAAGATCTGGCGTAGCTGTTCATTGCCAGCGAGAGGGTCTCCTAGGTCATCGTCGGAAGCATCATTGCTAGGCTCAGCCTCAGGACTAACGTGACGCAGCCGCTTTGGTCGCCTGGGATTTGGAGCCTCCAGGTCGTCTGTAAAATCCGAGGACCCCGAGTCATCTTCATCGTCTTCAGGGTGGCTATCCTCGCTGCTGAAGTGTAGACGCTTTCGCAGAGTCGACGGTCCATGAGCGACATCAAAGCGCAATACAGACCGATCATCGGAGGAAGAAGACGAGTCCACCGACGGTGTACTACCAGCATTTTGCGGAGCATCAGAAAAGGCACCATCTAGCTGTGCAGAAGACAAGCCTGAGTGGGCTGGACCATGTGGCGGAGACGCAGCGGACGGGCCCCCCGCGGAACGACCTTGGAGCACCGCTAGTCGCGCTTCCAGGCGTTTGATGACATCTAGAATCTCTTGTCGGTCTTCAGCTGCATCTGGACGTTCCTCGTCCAAGCTTTGCAGAATGACCTGGTTGAGTTCGATATCCTCTAGGATTTCTTGGATTGACGCGTCGGACGCGGAGGCCATTATTCCCGAAGTTACTGAGCAAGGCTAGACTGGCAGGGCGCAGGCCGACCCCACAAGAACTCAGAAAACTGGCGGATTGATCTCACCAGCGATCAAAGAGGGATCGCTCGTCTATTCTTAATAGACAATGGGGGAACAGAGGCAGTAAGAGAAGATCAAAGAAGGGGAAAGGCAAGGAAGAAGGAGATTAAAGTAGATGGGGGCGCGGTATTCGGGGGGATCTGATTGATGGAGTTGCGGGAGTCGCGATCGCTTGGCGGTACCTGGCAGCTGAGTTTAAAAATAAAAAGAGACAGAAGATGTAATTAACACAACACTCTTTTAGTCTTTGTTTCCCTGCTTAAGTGAATCTTTTTGAATGATCCTCTTAGGCGTCATCCGCAGGGACTGCGACCATGGTAAAGGGGTACGATCACATAAGTACCTCTGTGAATTCAAGGCTCTGAAGTTTGCCCCGGGTTGACTGGGTGGCAATCTCCATTCCCTACCGCTTCAGGATGCCTGAAAAATTGCTTTTGCCGGATGTCCGTTCTGGCCTGTCATATTGAAGTCTATCCCAGCTGAATATAAAATTTTTACAATTCTCTCCAGATTGCACTGGGAGACAACACTCCTTACTGTATCTTTTGTTTATCATCCAATCATCTTCAAAGGATCTAAATGATTCAGTAACTGTGCTCAATTCATGTGCATTCATCCGGCAGCTATAGTTCTTTAACGTAGTAGAAGCAGTAACACCACCGGCTGTGGCGCTCATTAGCCACACTTATGGATCTGCCCCCTTTTATGTGCACGTCTATATCCGGCATCTATCACGCTTCAGATAGTATTCCTTGTCTTCAGCGATGGGAAAGCAGTAATTTTGGCAGTCTTGCAGCTACTTATGATGGCATAGACAGTTAATGTCAGATCAGCCACAGTAGTGTCTTACCTCCATCTGCCGGGTAATTATGCATCATGCCATGATGCACATGTCTAGCATTCGCTCATCTCCGTCATTATTATGCTATGTTTATGAACACTGCTGGAACAAATGGTAAGTCTTAGGGGGAATCCAAGTCAGCCCTCATATTAAGGGATAGGACAAGAGGCAGATTCTAACTGTGGCTATGCTATTAGTACCAGCAGACTATACGAGGTAGGCAGAAGACAAACACTTCGACATATACATATATTTCTGTATGGAAATGGTTGTCGGATTGATGCAGACATATCTAAATTGAGATGAACACGTTGAACAGGGTCGATTGAATGAACAACCAGACCAAACCAAGAAGCAAGAAGACAATGACTACCAGTTCAAGGGCCATGGCTATGCCTCGTGCTGTAGACAGCGGCAGGCAATCGGGTCAGATCACGAGCTGCTCTTTGGGATGCAACGATAGGGTCCTCTGAAGAGCCAGAAGGAATGGATGAGGCCGGGAAAACATAGTTTTTCGAGCAGGACGGTGGGATTAAATAAATCAAGCGACAGCATGGTCACGGCTCCATGGAATATTCCTTGATGCTTTTATTTCATGAATTTTGTAGAGGAAAAAGCAGTAAAAGATGCTTGAAGTTGTTTAGCCTGCAATTCTGCTTGATTTAGGGAAGTTCCTTTTTGATGTAATGAGCACAAGTAATAAGCTCTATGTCTCAACGAATTGCAGTTGGACGCCCATCTGGCTTTCTTTATGGTTTTGACCAATAATTCATGATGCTGATACTATGTGGTTAGTCACGGCTCAAGACGGAGAACTACAAGTGATGACCATCAGGCGCTAAAGCAGACCGGGGTGGGATATGATACGGCCAGACAGGCCTGTCGACGAGAGTTTGGCAAACCTACTCCTAAATGACCCCTCTGCCTCCCAATGCCTATGGAGTATCTCAATTAAATGGGCAGGAACTGATTCAATTGTATATATATGATCTATCTAGATCTCAGAATAGTGTTGGCAGTAGTAGGAATAGGCCACGTAGACAGCAGAAATAGCAAAAAGAAATCAGATAGGCGGAAGGTAGCTGGAGGGTTGTGGCATGAGCGGAGGCCGGTGTGGAGGAAGCCTGGCTGGTGTGGCGGTAGCGCCTCCCTAAATCGTATTCACCGGAGTCTAATCTTCTCCCAGGATCGTTGGGCCCATAGTGGGAATGATCAATAGATACTTCGAGGTGATTTTTCACAAGCGCATGAAGCCTATCATTGAGTCCAAGATCAAAGAGCAGCAAAAGCAGAGGGATCCCGAAGCCCAGGAGGAAACACTGAAGTCTGTGGTGAGTACCTTTATCCACGGTTCGAATTTGTGCTGACCTTCCCTCAGGACAGCTTGCTGGACCTGCTCATTCGCGCCGGACTTCGCAGCAAATGGCCGATTGAAGCCACGTCCATGTGGTTATCATATAGAATCTTTATGATCAATTTCCCGGGTGTACACACGACTGCGGTCTCTGCTACAAGCGTTCTTCTTGATATTCTAAGTGATCCCATTGATGAGAATCTTGTCAATCATCTCAGAGCAGAAATTGAGAGCATTGCTGGTAATTCAAGTGGTTACTGGAATGCAGAGGACCTGGAAAGGGCTGCTCTGCTGGACAGTGCTGTGAAGGAGAGCCTTCGGTTGAACGGCATCAACGCTGCCAGCCCAACGAGGAAGGTATGCGCGAATTCCTCAATTTCCCCTTTCTCACTTCGTGGTTTCACTCATAATGCAGGTCGTCGCCCCCAATGGTGTCAGTCTTGCGAACGGTCTTTTCCTACCTTGCGGGACAAAGGTCGGGATCCCCCAGTATGCCCTCCACCGTGATGAGGAAATATATCCGGAGGCGGACAGATACAATCCCTATCGGTTTTACACCGAGAATGCATCTGAAAGCGCGATACGTCAGAGTTCGATGACCACAACTAGCGATGAGTATGTGGTCTTCGGCCACGGCCGTCGGCAGTGCCCTGGACGCTTTATTTTTGCCCACATCCTCAAGGTGTTCATCGCGGAGATGCTACTAAACTATGACGTTCAGCCTATCTTAGTCCGTCCGAAGATTCACAGTAAGTTTCGTTGATAGGTAGCTTTCATTTAAAGAGAGTATGTTTACTAATCACCATGCAGGATGGGGCCGTTTCCAGCTGCCACCTGTGACCACAAAGCTCACGGTCCGGCGCAAGAAGCGTGATTCGGTTATGTGTGCATGAAGTTGAGCCACTAAAGGCAATGTTCGGATGCCTTTTTGTTGCGGCGATCAGTATGTGTTGGAGCATTGGAATGGCCAATTTGATAAGATGATATGGGTTAGATTTAGTTGAGTTTAGACACAAACGATGTATCTGCCTCACAAATTGTATACTGTATGAATAGTGAGTGGAACGCCTGAGGCGGAAAGAATAAAATCATTTTCGGCCGGTCCCGCGGACAATCATGGGTGCCCGTGTGAGAGCGCCAAGTCACACGAGACGATCGCTCGCATGTGGGTATCAGCATCTGGTTTGCAGAATGGTCCTCGGTCAGGTTACTTAATTCGACTATATGGGGAAGCGGTGACGGAGTAAATATGTATGTAGATCTCCGAGACCGAGAAAGGTGTTGAGTCGTTGAAAGTTTATCAACAGGGTTGATCAAGGCAAGAAGCAAGTAGCTTTTTGTAGCAGTCTTGCTTGTGCAATTGAGCCAGCGAATCTGCACCGCTGACGTAGAGTCCAATGTAGCATTTTCTCCGACATCTGCAGCAAGGGGGAAGTGTAATGCAGACTGTGAAGCAAGAAGTAAAGGGATCAATCAAGTTGGTGGTGGTACTACTCCGTACTTCGTTGATCACAGATCACAGGGACTGGTTGGCTGGCTGACTGGTATCTATCTAGTGAGAGTGGTGGGCAGCCTCGGTCCAACCGTGCCGCGACCGCCTCCATTTCACATGTTCCGTCGCCCGAACTCTCCGGGGTAAGCTCGCCGCAATAATAAGCAACCCCGGGGTCCAGCGCTGCTATTAATATATAATTCCGGTCCCTCCTCGGTGACAGTCTGTCTGAATATCTGGTTACATCAAAACTTACTAGCTCCTCTCCTCTCCGTTCACTGTCGGTTTACCCTTTCTATCTTCTCTCATAGTCACCATGTCTCTCAAGAACGGTACGTCTATCCTCTCATCGCCATCCTAATGGTGAGCTGTGGCTGAACATCGTCACCCCCCTACAGACGCTTTCCCTTCTTCTGCCGCCTTCGACGCCATCAACTCGACTCTACAGGCTGATGCTGCCGAGCGCAAAGAGGCCATCAACAAGGCTAAAGCGGTGGTCGCTTTCAACATCAAGAACGATAAGGGCAAAGAAGAGAGCTGGTATCTCGACCTCAAGGACAAGGGTGTTGTAGGCAAGGGCGCCGCCCCTGAGGGAGGAAAAGCTGATGGTGAGTTCAAACAATTATCCACACCAGATGACGAATTCGATACTGATGAGACATCGATGTTATTGCAGTGACTCTCTCCCTTTCGGATGCCGACTTCAGTGCCCTCGTAAGCGGCAAGGCCAATGCTCAGAGGCTCTTTATGGGTGGGAAGCTCAAGATCAAGGGCAACATCATGAAGGCGACCAAGATGGAGCCTGTCCTGAAGAAGGCCCAGGGCAAGGCTAAGCTATAGATACCCGGTTTTTGTTCGTTATCTTTTTACTACAGTTGAAACATCAATATTGAAACACTGCTGGTATTGTGTTTTTTTTTATGTGTCAGCTGGTACTGTTTGCATTGTAGGCTACAGGGCACTGCTACTATCTATGTACTAGGGGTAGGCTTAAGAATGCTGCGACGTCATTTCAATCAGGTGGAACGTAATCCCAGTAGATTACTAGTATTCGATGACACGTGACCCGAAAACACCGTAATATCAACCGCTCCTTCCGAGCGCGCCTAGATAGCAAGAATCAAGCGTTTATGACGACTTCAATATTGATCTATAACATCGTTCCAAGAGGTTATGAGCCTGGCTCCAACATGATGTCTAAACCCTATACCAGCAAGCTGTCGGTTCAAATATAGGCCTGATCAACCTACAAGAATTATGGCATATGATGTCCTGAAGTCTACAGAGAAACGACTATTACTACATATCTAGATAGATGTCCCTAAGCAGCAAGTTATCTCCTAGAAACTGAATTGAATTATTGAATCCACTATACCGCAGCAAGTCTGAGGGGGCCGTGTTGAGACATTTGAATTACCCCTGCTGCTTGGTGGCCATCGATATATCGTTTCACTAGTTTGGTCTACGAAGTACTTGGCAGAAACATATAAGTTCCAACAGTATTCACCAAGACTGTAGGATGGGGAAACACTCGAGCTCGTAAGAGTTAGGGAGAAATAATTTCGGAGAAAGACCGATGATTTTATGACTGTGTTTCGTGTTATTGTGCCCTCCATTATCGGGCTTTTATCACGGTGGTTTCCATAAGATGGACTGAGTGGTCACGTCATGCCGATGAAGTATATATTTACCGACGCAGTGGTCGCTACTGCCACTACACTGTACTCATATTACTATGTGGTACCCTCACCAAATTATTTATTGAACTAGAAATAGCGGACAATCAGATCGGCACTCTCCGACTACCGAAAGGATTAACTTAATGGACACATGTAGGTGTCAGCCATCTGCGCAAAAAAGGCACGCCCTGCAGCTGCGAGAATGAGGGAACTTGCCATGGAAACCAAATTGGTGAAAGAATTGCGGGTGACCCGAAGTGGGAAGAAATCACAATACCCCGTATTGAGACGGTTTGACATGCCGCCTGCACTTCAGGGTGTGTGTAATAGACGTAACAATACATAATGTGGAAGACATGGATGGGAAGTGCAGAACAAAATAAAGAAACCCTCTTTTCTTCCAACATCAGGACCAAAGAGCCCCATCATCATAATCATGATAATGGCCGCCGGCTACCTCGTACAGAGTCTCTTTGCTAAGGAAGACCCTGGTCGACCATGGCTCATGGCCGCCTCGCCTGGGGCACGTAAAAAGCGAAAGCGCCTTTATGTCATCCCGCCAAGATGTCACCTTGCATACTCATCACGTGACCGTAATTTTTTCTGCCAGCAACCTTCCCTCTTTGCCGGCAAAAGTCGCGAGCCGACGCTTCAAGGCTAAAAAATAAAGCTCACTGGAGCACACACCCCCATCTTCACCAAGGCAGAGCGCATCGAATGGAGCCGCGCCTCTTCATCACTACATCTAGCAGTACCTAACGCTCACTGCTCTGCCTTTCACCTTTCCCCCCTCCTCCTTTGATTCCGTTTTGGTCTCGTGGCCTCGCTAGTTTCGCGCTGCGCGATTCATTCACAAGACGATCGCGCAATAACCTGCCCTCACTTCCTGGACAGGTCTATGTTTGGATAAACCACAAATCTGGACCAAATCTCTCGCGATTTATCGATACGACACCTGCGCGGAATACGTTGATCGCCTGGCTCGCCGGTCCGTTCACACGTACTCATTTTAGAGGGCCCCGTATCTCAACCGACGCACCATTTCAGAGTCTTTGGAGCTACGGACACAGATTCTACCGGACGGATTCGAGAGGTCAACTGCAGTCCCCAGATACCTTTTGTACGCAGTGAATAATCGTACACCGTGCATGCCGAACGGTCATTAAGGGGTGAATTCGGACGTCTAAGAAGGGGCTGAAGCCAACTGCTGTCTAAAACCGTCGAGAATCTCGCCGCTGAAGACGTCGGGGGCTCCACTATAGATGTCTAAGAGATCGGCCCAGGGCCCTCAAGGGGACAAGGATACCGATCTGTTTCAATTCAACATGTCGAGCACACCGGACGATAAGGCGCAGCGGGCAACCGCGGCGCAGCTAGCGAACAGAAAGTAAGTGGATGTAGACCGACCTTTACGGCCAATGTCATGCATGCAATCATTCACTTGTCCTGCAGCCCCCCAAAGTTACTGGGACGTGTGCTGAAAACAGGGCTCGAGTTTGATCTCCCATTCTATTCTTTGTATTCTCTCCTCGTCCAACACCTCGCCTTATCCACACGCTCACACCCTTTTACCTTATGTTTCATCTTATCATCTCGCTCATCAGTCTCATTTGCACGTCATTTAATTACAAAGTCGTTGCTAACACTGTTATCAGAATCAAAGAAGTTCGGAGGCGTCGTCCCAACAGTGCTGCTCCGAGTGCTCCCGCGCCGTCGTTTGGCGGAGGTCCTTTCGCTTCCATAGATCCTAACACAGTCTCGTCCACGCCCGCTAGTTCCCAGCCAGCCTCCAACGGATTCACTTTCGGCCAGAGTCAGAACCAGAGTTTTCCAGGAGCTAGCTCAGCGCCCAGCCAGAACGGAGGCACTCCATTTGCTTTTGGCTCTGGAGGCGGTGGAGGCTCGTCTTCTTCCTTTAATTTCTCTTCATCCTTTGGAGGTACAAGCTCAGCTAGCAATCCATTCGCCAGTATGAACACTACTACTTCCGACCAGTCATCTAAACCGGCTAGCTTCTCTGGCTTCCAGGGCTCACTCTTCAATATCCCTCCGGGCGGAAACCAGTCTCCCGCTCAGCAGCCTTTGCCTTCAGGCTCAATATTTGGCACATCTTCCCAATCGAATGCTAGCACGGGTGGCCTTTTCGGCGCCAGCACAAACAATGGCCCTTCCGCCTCTGGTGCGGCTACTCCTGCGTCAGGAAGCATATTCGGCCAAAACAATGCAGCTGCCGCTGCTAGTACCCCTTCCACGAATCTCTTCGGGCAGTCTAGCGTGAAGAAACCGTCCCCATTCGGTCAATCCTCAGCATTTAGCGGAGATGACTCGATGCAAACTTCCCCTGACGCAAAGGGTAGCGGGTCTCAGCAGAAACCATCTATCTTTAGTAGCGCTCCTCCGGCTCAGCCTAGCTTTGCGGGCGCTGGAAGCACTTCATTGTTTGGCGCATCTGCTTCGTCGGCGGCAGAGACCCCCTCCAAGCCCGTCTTCGATTTCAAGGCAACCACCCCTTCAACATCACTGTTTGGCGGCGCTGCCACCCCAACCCCCTCTGCTTCCACACCCGCCCCGGCTGCTGCGACCACCGCTGCTCCGGCATCATCCTCATTATTCGGCGCTGCTTCGCCCGCGAAGCCATCTACGCCATTCCAGAATCCTTTTCAGTCATCGAACCTCTTCCAGACCACACCCTCAACATCGCAAAAGCCCGACGAAGAGAAGAAGGAAGAGCCCAAGCCTGCCGACTCGCAGCCTAAATCTCCATTCCAATTCTCTGCATCCACGACTACACCAGGCTCTCTGTTTGCTAAGAGCGATGCCCCTGCCTCTCCAGCTCCGGCCGCTCCTTCGACTGGTTTATTCCAGACTTCGTCTACGAAGAACCTCTTTGAGCCCAAACCACCTGCAACTGCAGACGCGGAACAGACGAAGGCGCCAGCAAACCCTTTTGGTGGCTTGTTTGCGAAGCCGGCGACTCCGAGCAAACCTGCAGGCGAGCAGCAGCCCCTTCCCTCCTCTTCCACACCTTTCCAGGGACTTTTCTCCAAGCCAAGTACTTCCAATGATGCAACAAAGACTAGCGAACCGGAAAAGCAGGCCACCCCTGGTCCAATGTCATTTGCTCCCTCCAGTGGTGGTTTCTCCCAAACCTCCAATCTTTTCTCACCCAAGCCTGCAGCATCACCGGCTCCCGCCACGGAGACTCAAGCAACGGCGGCTTCAACCTCTGCTGCTACCGTTGATAGTCCCATCAAGGTCAATGGCGCGAATTCCTCACCGTCGGTTTTCACCAATGGAAACACTGCACCCTCCACTTTCGGACAGATGCAGACTCCGAAACTGGCAGGCAAGACGACGGACAAGAAAACTTCCGAAGATGCTGAGATGCTTTATCGCATGCGCACACTGAACGAGTGCTTCCAGCGCGAACTGGCTAAATTGGACCCCTCGAGCCAGAACTTTGACGCCGCTGTCCAGTTTTACATGCGTGTTCGCGCCACCCTTGGCGCTTCTGTTGGTTCAAAGCGCAAGGCATCAGGCGAAGCTGAGGATGCTGTTGCAACCAAGAAAGCTCGGCCATTTGGTATCCCCTCCGAAAAGGCTGACACGCCCAAAGAGAACTCTACTACTCCGGCCGTGTCTGCACAAAGCTCCACGCCGTTCAAGGGATTTGGCATAAGCCAGGCCTCTCCGACAAGTGCCAAGAGAAAGTCCATCGATGAGGGCGATGACAATAGCCCTGCTAAGCGTGTCAACGGAGACTCCAGCACAGCAAACATATTTGCTCAGTCTTTCTCAAAGTCCAAGACCGAGGCTGAGAAGCCTGAACCTTCCGTGGTCAAGCCGTCCACTCCCGAATCTACTAAACCCGCTTTATTCTCTACTACGCCAACTACGGCGCCCGCCAAACCTTTGTTCTCTGTCTCAGACTCGGCTTCGAAGGGTTCGGCTTCCACCTCGCTTTTCTCGTCGTCTATGTCCAGTGCTACTTCAACATCAGCCGCTTCCGGAGGAAACGCCCCCAAGAATCCTTTTGTACTGAAGCCCACCTCCAGTGAGGGCTCTTCCACAGGCTCTGCGGGTGGCACAGACTTCTTTGCCCAATTCAAGGCCCGATCTTTCGAGGATGCCGAGAAGGAGAAAGAGAAGCGCAAAGCTGAGGATTTTGACTCGGAGGAAGAAGACGAAGCCGAGTGGGAACGCCGTGACGCTGAGGAACAACGGAAAAAGCAAGAGCAGTTTGGGACTCAAACCCAGAAACGCGCGAAGTTCGTCCCTGGTAAAGGCTTCGTTTTTGAAGACGAGAGCAACGAATCTCCTGCAAAGAAGGCAGAGGACTCCTCTTCCACTACACCCGGCGCTGGCACCATCTTCTCTAGCCAAAATAACGCTGCAGTCAAGTCCAACAACATTTTTGGTCATCTGTCGGCGACTCCATCTGAGGCCGAAGACAATGACAACGATGCGGATGACACGGAGGAAGCCTCTACTCCTGGCGACGAGTCGGACGATGCGACCGAAAATGCTGTTGCAGCCGATAAGAAGGCTGAATCTGCCGATTCATCAGCCAAGGAACCCGAAGCTGGTGGTCGCAGTCTTTTCGATCGCGTTCAGTATGGTGAGGACGGAAAACCCAAGCGCCAGGGTGAAGAGGAGCAAAAGGGTAACGTTTCGACTCTCTTCGGGTCGTCCAACTTTTCGTCCTCCTTCAACACTCCCGCCTCCCTCACCCCAGCCAGCAGTGGCGAGTCCAACCAGGCTGCGCCAAAGCCCGCGACGACCAACCTCTTTGGCGCTCCGAGCGCAACCAGCAGCATCTTTGGTACTCCCTTGTCTGGTTCTGGAAACAGCACCCCTTCCATCTTCAATGCAGCCCAAAGCGCTACTAAGCCAACTGGGGATAACACATGGAAGCCCGACTCTCCGATTAAGTTTGCCAGCGACTCTGCCAGCGCTTCATCGTCAAAGCCGGACTCTGGGTCGGCAACGCCAGCGCTCGAGGCGCCCAAGCCATTCTCCAATCTTTTCGGAGCACCGCCTTCCCTAACCAAATCATCTACGTCTAAGGATGCTCAACCGTCCCTTGGGTTTACCTTTGGTACACCGGGACAGTCGTCGCCGTCTGTCTTTGCTCCATCCACACTTACTTCTGCCGCTCCCAGTCGCTCCACCACCCCCGGAGGTGCATCTGACACGGGAGCAGAAGAGTCGGGAGACGGTGATGGCGCCGAGTCCTTACCTCAGCTCGATCTCACGCGTGGTGGCGCCGGAGAGGAAAACGAAGATCTAGTGGCGGAGAGCCGGGCTCGTGCCATGAAGCATACGACCGGCACCGGTTGGGAGAGTCAAGGCGTCGGTTTCCTTCGCGTTTTGAAGGATCGGACCACGTCTCGTGGGCGAATCGTCGTCCGGGCAGATCCGAGCGGCAAGGTGATTCTGAACACGCGCTTGATGAAAGAGATTCGATACTCCGTGGCTAAGAACAGCGTTCAATTCCTTGTCCCTCAATCCGAAGGCCCTCCTCAGATGTGGGCCCTGCGGGTCAAGACGAACGCGGATGCCGAGCGCCTCTGCAAATCCATGGAAGAAACAAAGAACTGAGTACTGCACATTTTGATTACTACGACTAGATGCGGTACATAGGATATGCGACTGAATTTACTTGATGGACTTTGCAGGCGTCTAAGTGGCGATGTATTATGATGTGCTTTTCTCTTACTTCTGTTTTATATCTACCTTGCCTTTCTGCAACAGCAGACCCTCCACCTGCGCCGTTTTGGGTCAACCAACCCCCTTCTCCCTTTTGTCCGTTGAAATTGAATCGTCCGGCCTTGCAACTACAGTTATTCTCTTTTTTTATTCACGACGGGCCGATAAAAGACTATCGGCTGTCTGCCGCCCGAACAAACAGACGGACATTTGTGGTTTCTTCCCTTCTCAAATATTCTCACCGGGAACTTGTCTTTGAAGATTGGTGTCTCTTCTCATTTTCTCCCTTCACTTTCACCTTTCAGACGCCTCAGTTCTCCCTTCTTCCCCGAATTTTCGAGAACCTGTGTAAGTAAAAATATTTCTTTTCTGTTTTCGCATCATGCAACTTGACTGCTGCGGCTGCATCTTCGGTAGCGTCGTTTGTTACTCTTACTCTCTGTCTGCCCAACCAGAAAACAGGCGCATCTAGCATAGCGAGTGGGAATTCGAAGAATCTGGTTTTTCTTTCTTTACGAAATGGAATTGTGCTTCTGAAGTTCGATTTTGCCATTGTCCATGTTTATAATTTATTTTAAGAATTCTAATAAAATTCTTCCACATTCGGATTTTCTTCTGTAGTATCGGGAAGAGGGGAGAAAAATGTGTAGTTGCATCAGTGATGGCCCGTACAACTACAAGGACTGGGCATAAGGTATGCACCCCGCTACCACGACGAGCTACAGCCATGGCCAACGACACCGATTAACAGGTGACAAAGGTCTTAAGGAATGTAAGGGATGGTAACTGATAGCCGACAATCCAGCCAAATCCCATTTTCACTATTACGATATCACTGACGGGTCAGTCAATCTATTTCTTCTACATGGTAATGGAAAGTGGAGGGACCAAAAAAATTGTGATTTTGGAATTTTTTTATTATCTCTTCCAAAAAGCCGAACCCCGTCCCGTTGCATCATCCATCATGAAAAAAGAAAACCCGTCAAGCTTGCAAAGAATCTGGGCTTCATTTTTGGGGGAATAAGATACATGATGTTGTTTTTTTTCATCGATCAAGGAGAAAGAGTAATTTACTCCTCATCGACAACGGCGGTGTGAAGACCCTTGACATCCTTGACGTTGACAGCCTGGACGTAGGAGTAGAGCTTCTCCTTGGCGCCCTCCTCGTCGTTACGCTTGCGGGAGATGCGGACACGGAGACGGTAGGGGACGCCCTTGACACCGGCCTCCCAGACCTTCTTGTTGAGCTGGGGGTCGACACGGACGTCGGTGGTGCCCTATTCAATGAGAATAGCGTTAGGTGGTTGTTTCCTTTTTTTTGCATTTGAGTATGGGGGGAAAGGGGGTACTAACCATAGCACGGGTGGCGAAAGCGCGGATCTCCTTGATAGCACGAGGAGCACGCTTCTTGAAGGAAACACCGTGCATCTATACCCAAAAAAAGAACGAATATTAGTCTTCCGCCCGAATGCCATCTGATAGATGTGATTTTGAGAAATTTTGCTTTGCGAAATTGCGGCCATAGAGGTGGACTTCATCAAACTAATTCTTCTTTTTATGGGATTTGTTTTTTTTTCCTCTTTCAGAAAAAAAAAAGACAATCTGGTTCCTGATTGTTCCTCCACACATGTAATTTTTCAGACAGGTGCGGTAAGCTCATCCTGAACCTCTCCTTCTTCACTCTTGTTCTCCGAGTTCGGGAGTGGTAGAGGTGGGCGGAGGAACGAGGATTCGGGTTCCCGCTTGTCTTTTTGTTCTCCGTCCAATTGCCTCCATGTTTTCGAGGTTCCGCGGAAATCGCTCGCAGGTAGAGTCGAAATTGTGATGAATTCAAGTGCAGATTTTTGGCTGTGTTCAACGTACTCTCTTGTGCATGTTGATGGTGTACTCGCGAGTGACAACGTCGGCGATGGCCGAGCGAGTCTTCTTGCCGGTCTTGACGGGGGCGGACATTTCTGTGGTTGAGAGAAAGATGTTAGGATGGGTGATTCTCGCGCAGAGAATGATAGGTTCAAGCAAATTTGCGGAAAGATCTCACTCACTGAATGAGGGACAGAAGTGTCGGCTGTCGTGGGCTGCAGTGGTCGTCGACTGTCAAGGATGAGGAGATTTCGAGATGGTGTTTTTTCGCAGTGCTGGTGGGTTTTCCAGTGCGGCTCGCTTATCGCCTGTGCGCACCCTGATTCGTCCATTTTGCCAGCACGTGAATACCTTCCCGCAGCTAACTGTGTCATCGCCTGAGGCAACAATCGATCCCGCTTCAGTCTTGCTTGCTTGCTTTCCTACTCTCCTACTGTGGACTGTCACGCTCTTCCGGGACAATTAGGATAACGGTCGCGGACTAGGTTCATGAATCGTTCAATTACAATCTAGGCTATGACTCGCTCGCAGCATATATTCATCGGACTCAATGCGAAGTGCAGGGCTATTTGCTGTCGGCACTCACGTCCGAGTACAAATCGAACCGCCGCTGCGTGTAAATGGGAATACCCTTCCTCGTGTTCTGGATCGTCTCGTTATCCAGGTCCGCGTAGATAATGTCTTCCTTCTCCTCCGTCTCAGCCAGCACATTTGCGCTCGGATCCACGACCAAGCTGTGACCATAGGCGTGGTACGAGGCGCTCATGTCTCGAGCGGGACTGCACAAGGCCACATACACCTGGTTATCAACGGCGCGAGCACGAGCCAACAGCGACCAGTGCAGCGGACCCGTGGTAGTGTTGAATGCGCCCGGGTACACGAGCATGAAGGCGCCCTTCCGAGCTGCAATCATGCCGGCCTCCGGGAAGCGGATATCGTAGCAGATAGCCAGTCCGATTTTACCATAGTCCGGCAGATCGACGACAGTCAGCTGGTTACCAGGGGACAGGACCTCGCTCTCTTTGAAGGTGATCTTGCCGGGGATGTCGATATCGAAGAGATGAGTCTTGCGGTGGGTTCCAATCAAGGCACCGGTGGGGGAGAACACCAGCGAGGTGTTGTAGTACTTTTTCGTGGTCGGCTCAAGTTCCGGAATGCTACCACCCACCAAGTAGGCCTTGGCTTCTGCGGCGATGGACGAAAGCGCATGGTAGGAGGGGGACTGTTCTTGGGTGGGTGGGGAAGGAAGCAATGTCTCGGCGTACTTTGGGAAGTATTGGGTACCGTAGGGAGAGTTGAAACATTCCGGAAGGACGATGAGAGAGGCACCAGCTTTGGCGGCTTCGAGAACCTTGGAGCGAGCATGTGCGAGGTTTACTGTTTTGTCGGCGCCTAAAGATCATCAACTCTGAGGATTCAATTCGGGCCAACTTGGAGGGAGTGAGGAAGGCGGGGACGGAGAGAGATCACAGTCGTACGCACCTGAGGCCAGTTGGATCAGGGCCAGTTTCAATGGTTTCTTGAGGAGAGAGGCCATGATTGTTATTGTAAATTACAATAGTAGCGAGAAGGGTGTCTATCTATATGGGGGAAGTGAAGGGAAGGCGAGGCGATAGAGTCCGAGAGAAAGAGTTGGCCGAGTTGAAGCCATGCGGGGAAGCCAGTCGGAGTCGCTCCTTCCCTTCCCAGCTAACCTTGTTACTACTCACTCATACTCACTCCTCTCTTACTATCCAACCGCCCAAAAACTTCATCTCATCCACCACTTCTCGTGACTCACGTTATTGCAACAATGATACTAACGTATAATCATTTCCGTCGACTGTTACCTACTCGTCATCGACTTCGCAGTATAGTACTGACATGAGGGTTGCACGTGCGTCGTCACCTAAATCGCCTACGGAGAATACTTCCCGGATTAGGTTAAGAATGCTGTCTCATCCGCATTCTGCAACCATCTGCCCTACTAAATAAGTACGGACGGAGGACCCAGAGATCCCTCCGGCGATTTCCGGAGAAACAGCCGGCAAGGCAACATCAAGGCGACATAGCCGGGATCAGAGCACTGTTTTACAAATGCTTCGCGTGGGATCGTTATCAATGCAACGCACTCACTATATTACCATATAATATAGCTAGTCATGACCCTCGATCTTGTACACCCTTCTCGACTCTCTTATTGCGCCCCGAGCAGAAGGCTAGAACCTCCCAGTGGAGAGATGCGACTGATTGGCGATGCCTGTTACACAAACAACAAGAAGAATGCTACCGTTCTCCCGGGATCGTCCCTGTCTGAGATGTTAACAGCACTCAGCCAATCATGTGTGGATGGAGATTAAAGCCGACATGCTGGCAAATTGTTCTCGTACATTTAGGGCCCAGAGCAAGGCCCATGGTGCCAAGCTCTATCTGGCCACAAGCTTATGCTGAACGGTGTCGACTACTCTGGACTGACGTTTGGGTAATCTTCCTCCTGCACCATGTAACTTCAGCCCACACACACGCTTCTGGGCCCAAACTGGCGGAGCCCGTATGGGGACCCCCACGGTGCACCTAGGTCCAGTTGGTTGAATTCAGGGTACATCTATATTTCGAATCATATCGGCAATTCGCCATCGACTGTGTAACAAGGATCTCCCTGAACGTTGCTTCACCTGGTCTGCTCATGCCGTTTCGGGAAATCTTGGTGCCACCACGATGAATTGTAAGTCGTTAGGAGAATTCTATAAAGTGAGAGACTTGTAACTAAGCCGGGTCACGTTTATGCCCCAGCTTCGAATTCGTCTTAAGATTTTCATGGTCTCCACCGAGGCCTCCAGTTTCTACTAGAACGAACATTCTTGTCTACATCTTTGCTTAACTCTGTTGTCCCCTAAGCACGATGCCTTCTCATACACACACAGCCATCTTGGCTCTGGCTCTATCCAGTGCTTCGCTGTTTGCCTCCCCTGTTGGAGCTCATCCTGTTGGATTGCAGGCTAGGACTCCCGCAAGTGTACGTTCATATTACTATATAGAATTGTGAGCATGTTGTACTGACCGGTATACAGGATGAGCAGTCTGTCGGGCTTCTAACTCTTGGAGGCGGTTACACTCAAAAAAGAGATATTGGAGCCATTGATCAAGTTTCCGGCGGCGGCGGCGGCGATGATGACGATGATGGCTCCGGAAGCAATGGCTCTGGAGGCGATGGTTCTGGAAACAACAATGGTTCTGGAAGCAACGGCTCTGGAGGCAGCAGCGGAACCGGAGGTAGCAATGGCTCTGGAGGCGATGGATCTGGAAGCAATGGATCTGGAAGCAATGGATCTGGAAGCAATGGATCTGGAAGCAATGG